CTGGAAGTACTCGGTGCTCCGGGCGACGAGGAGAAACCCCAGAAAGTGATGAATGAAGACGGACGGCCTGTAGATGGCTTCCTGAGTTAAAACGTCCAAGAGATCTGCATTTTGACCAGGAAGTAAATTCCGTTTTACCTGGAATGCTCTCGGAATTGAACTTTGAAATCGGTATTAGACCGATTTTGGCCACGATTGCAATATTTTCAACTTTTTAAATTTCTTTTCTTCTTTAATCTTCACTTCTTTATCCCCAAATCTCTAAGCTTCTTAATCCCTCTTACAAATCAACTCCAAGAAGAAATCAAGAGACCTGCTGAAAATTTAGGAACATTTCCCCCGTGGAAACCCGATGTAGCATATTCAATGCAACTTCACAACAGCATGATGAACCCCGGCAGCACACCCACGTTGGGCCAACGTTGGGCCAACGTTGGACCTATATTCCAATTCCACATTTGCGATGTGGGCCTCGGCAGCACACAACGTTGGTCCAACATCGGCTGCGAGAGGGGGAGCGTGGGCCAACATCACAGTGGGCTACCCATGTAGGCCCCTCATCGGCCCTGTGACGGCTGCCAACATTTGTCACGTCTCGGGATGAGACATCTATCAGAGTTATTTGAACAAAATGCTTCCCACAGACGATGCGAGATGGCGCCTAAGTGACTCATTAATTTAAGACCCCAACGCCTTTCAAGCGGCATCTGCTCGTTTCCCACAGAGAACGTAAGGAAAGACACTCCAGTTTCTCAATTGATTTGTTTAAACAGATGAAGCGGTCCCGGAAGACCGGAGAAGGAAGTTAATCGCGGAGGAGGCATGGTTCAAATTGGGGCTTCACTAAATGGAGCTAAATTATCGGTATTATTTAATTTGGATCGTGCAGGCTACGTCTGGCTCTCCCACAGGGATTAGTGGATTCAGGTGCGATGAAGACGAACGCCCGAGTCTTACTGGACGATCATTCCCATGGCGGGAAAAGAACCGAAAAGAAAAGGACTGCTTAACCAGTTTAAACAAATAAAGAGAGAAATTCGAGTGTCTTCCCTTACGCTATCGGTGGGAAAAGATCGAGTACAGAATGTGAAGTACCTGGGTCTTACGTTAACGAGTCATCCCCGACTCCACTGAAATAGCGGCTACATATTCCCCATTTCGCATCAGCTGTGGGAAGCTCTTCTGTTCAAATAACTGAGATAGATGTCTCATCTTGGGACGTGACAAATGTTGGCTGCCGCCCTAGCTCATATGTTGGGCCTAAAAGAGAACAAGAGAGCTCCAGGGTTACGCTTCACCTTCGACGTTCCCATTCGGCGAACGCCATGCCAAAGAATTCGGCAGAGTAGTCGTGGGGTTTCTTGCCGGGCTGGCGGGCGTCCCACGCATGGCACCCAGACACGAGAGTCGCGTCCGTGTGCGTTCACCTCTTCACTGTTTGCGAGCCAAGGAATTCTGGGTCTGAGAGGATGAAGGCCGAGTGGAGTTCGATTTGCCTACACTTCCGGTTCTTCGAGGCTAAACCGGCTTCCACCTCGCCGGAAAGTGTCAATAGTTCCACAGATTCGTTTCCTTTGCACGCGATTGCGATGGAGCCGACTCCGAAACAGTGCATGCAAAATGGACTCCAGTGATACCGAGGAGAGCGACGGCCAGTCCTCAGGCGCCACAGGAAGTGGACCGTCGGGCATCTTCGATCCTTCTGGTCGGTCGAAACCGCTGATAGTAAAATTATGAAGTACAATGTCAGCAATAAATGTAATTCCCAGAGGGCTGTTGGGTTGGATGGAGCCAAACGACGACGGAAAGGTTTGGCATGGCCGCAGTCGACACTTTCGGATCTCCTTCAACCCAATTAGTCGTCTAGTTTGGGCACATTCTCATCGGGCAAGTTCCCAAATGGGAAATTTACGGGAGATTCGTAACTCTCACATGTACTTTCGAGTCGGTTCAGTTTCGAACATTTTCTAAGGAGTTGATGACTCACATGCGGAGTATGAAGCATATCTGGAAATCCATACGATCGATATGAATGCATTGTAGCTGACAAACCCAAGTCGCACACCTCTTACGACCCGGTGGCGAACCTCTGTCGGCACGAGCGGGATCCTGGCGGGCGAGGCAGAGAGGCATCGCTCGTTGACGACCCGCCGAGCATCGACGGGATTCACCCGTGTCTTGTCGTGCAGAAGGTGGGCCGGCGGGGGAGGCTGACCCAACGAGGTTGGGGTGGCCTGGTCACCCGCCATCTGTTCCCAGTTCATCGAATTACTCTGTATCGAGGCGTTATCATGGATTACCGCCATCTGTTCCCAGTTCATCGAATTACTCTGTATCGAGGCGGTATCATGGAAGCAGGCGTCCCTGTAGACGTGTATTCTACGATTGATCATATCCGGATACAATTCATCGTATCATTCATCATATTTCCGGATCATATCGTTCGCCCAGTTATCACATGGCCACTTGTCGATACTTAGCGTCGAAGTGAGGTTGAGTGGGAGGATGTAACATTTCCACTTGTTTTCCCTTCTGAAGGATCGAATAAATGAGGGCAGGTATTACGCTGTCTCTCCGAGCTCCAAGCGTCATCAAGTCGCAATATTCCATTTCCTTGTGCATTTCGGAAGTGTTCTCTCGTTCCCGATCCTCCATCCGCTCGTCCGTCCGCAACCTCGTGGATGAGGACATCGAACGGAATAAAGAGGGTGGATGCACCCTCACCGATGAGCCGACATGCGCGTCTAGTCACCCGCCCAACCGAACGAGGATCGCATTCCCTGCATTCAGACGACTCATTTCCTTTTCTCCGGCCCGTTTCCTTCTAAACCTTCCTTGTTCCCTTCTATTTTTTCCTTCTTCCTCGTTTCGACCGGTCCACTAACAGGTAGCTAATATAAAGGAAGGCCGGCCGAGGAAGGCCGCTTCAGGCAGGAGAGATTTTTCCTTCTCTCGCTAAGTACAGGTCGATGGTAAGAGAAATACGAAAACCGACTCGCTCTAGAACAGATTTACACCGCGAGAGAGATGAAGCGCTGATTACCCTCCAGTCTCATCTCGCAGGAATGTCTCCATAACGATGACAAAAAAAAATTAACCGTAAATTTAAAATTAAATGCCATTAATACAACTCCAGACATCGTGCATTAGTATCAAGGGAAAGGATAAAAGAAAATCTAGATCATTAATGGGACCATGCCTCACCTCCCAGTGGCCGCAAAAATCTTCGCAAGCATCATGCTTCATTCGGAGAATGAAGACGCGCTCACACAATTTCGATTTGGATTTACCGTCGACCTCTCTTTCGATGAGGGGAACGCTCCTCTACGATGAGTTTCGTTCCTTGCATTGGTGAGTGCCTTGGAGGAAAACCTGCACCTCCAATGAAGGTGAAGTTTCATTAATGATTGAACTACGTTTTTGCATACTCCTGAACTCTGTGGCATTTATAACATGTTTTACCTCGGCTAGAAGCTCCCTTTATCATTATTGTATCTCTCAAGTTACTAGAAGAAATTGGGAGGAGCCCCACGTGATGAAGGATTGCACAATTCTTTGAAGACATGACTTATTCCATTCTCATTATGTGCGACATCCCCCAGTCATGGGCGGCGCCATACTTGCTGCGCGCCATCTAGTGTTAGCGCACAAAGCGAATACTTCACAATTTGGCCATCAGATTCGAGCGGCTTCCTCCGACAGGAATGGTCGAAGACGTCCGACGGTCCACTTCTTGTGTGATGTCTGAGGCGGTCGCTCTCCTCGCTATCCCTCCGGTCCATTTTGCATGCACTGTCTCAGAGTCATCTCCATCGCAGTCGCGTGCAGGGGAAACGAATCAGCAAAAAAGACGGTTCTTACCGGAAGTGAAGACAGCAAAAGGAATTTCACTTGGCCTTTTTCTTCTCCCAGACTCAGACTTTATCCTCTCCTCAAAAGCGAAGAGGGACGCCCGCCAGCCGCCAGCCCAGTAAGAAACCCCACGACTACTCTGCCGAATCCCATGGAACGATGTTCGCCGAAGGTATCGTCGAAGGTGAAGCGTGGCCCTAGGCCTTTCTTCAGTGCGGAGGGATACGCTTCGTGATGATATTTGGTCCGGGAAGGAATTACGTGTAGATCAGTATGGGCAGCCGAACGCTGAAATATCTGTTCACCGTAGTTAAAAAACAATTAAAGAATTTAAACATTTCAAGGAGAAAAACCACGAAATTCTCGGACAATATTCATCCAATTATGTTGGGTCAAGGTCTCGGGAGCAAGGGCAACAATTGATTCCGAGGACTTGAAAGTGTTACAGTCCAGCAAAATTCAGTTAGGACTAAATTAAGTGCTTTTTCTACTCGAGATGACTCTCAAAATGAATTTATTTCCCATATTAAAATGTAGAAGGCGTATCGGGGAGTGAGGGTCGGGGGCAATGATATATTCATTTCGATATTGCAAAAACTACAGCTGTCATTGTATGTTAGTCGAAAGTTAAGTTATACTACACCACGCAATCGCACTACTTATAAAGGCTAGTCGTAAAGGCTACTTATGAAGGCTATTCATAAAGGAATTCAATATTCCTCATTGAATATGAATCATAGGGAAAGTTTCACGAAAATACGGAAAGCTAAGGTGTCGTCAGCGCCGAATTGTTAGCTAATTGGCTATAAATGCTAAATTCTCTTCCCTTTCGCCTTCATCTTTCTTCTCAAGTGAGCTAAAGAGCAATCACTCCCTCTGACGGACGGAGGAGCGAGACCTCCTCATGAAACCAGAAGAATCCGATGAAATTGAATATGAAACTCATGAAAAATGCAGCCCTCCTCCCTCGCTCAAAGCAGGAATGGAGTACTGTATGTAACAGACCGGAACAATGACATGGCGAGTACGAAGCACACGCTTCCCGCACGACCGATTCGACTCCAAACTGTATAACAAATGTATCATATGTGACTGGGAAATATGATCCACCGCACCAGTTCCGCGCAAGGCCTGCCCTCTGTCCCAACATGTTCCACGATCCTTCGGCCTATCCCAAGCCCAGCTACCCGATCTTCAACGGGTCTCGGTACGAACAGCTGACCAAGAACCACGAATACCTCCGGCAAAGTGGGATCCCCTTCGAAAGGGAAAACTTGCCATATTTCTTCGTCTTCGAATGGGAGCTGGCCGGGGAATGGGCCGAAGACGTCCAGTGGTGGTTCATGGACTATTGGACCCTCTCCTTCGTCTTCGTCGCCGTCTACCTGATCCTCGTGTTCTGGGGTCGGCGATGGATGGCATCTCGCCCGCCCTACGATCTGCAGAAACCCCTTATCGCCTGGAATTTTTCTCTCTCCCTCTTCAGCATCCTTGTGGTTAATCGGTGTCTCCCTGAGGTGTACCGAAGCTTTCGACGTGATTCCCTCTACCAATCGATGTGTTTGGGAATGTGAGTAGGATTCCACATCTTTCCCATAGGGAGACAATTGAATTTTTAAAATATATTATCTGGTAATGCAATAAAATAGCTTTTTTTTTTCTTTTTCATCCTCCTTCAATAGATTCCCTGAGACCCGCTCTTTTTTTATTGGAAAAACTCGGAAATTTTCGATAAAATGGCGTGGACTGATCCTATCCAGACCTCAACATGATTATTCAAACATACCAGTCGATCTCGCAGTGCTTGAAACATGGTTAGATCGTCGCCCGAAAATCCAACTGGGAGATTTATACTCCTGGAGGAGGAACGACTTTTGGTTAGATTCCATCCATGATTTAGAACTTCGTGATTGATTTGAGGAAGAGTTGATGAATTTGGTAAAGCATTGCTGAATGTCGGCTTACCTACAGAGAAGAGTCGCAATATCTAAATCGAACCTTCTTTTGTGTTTTTTTCATGCCTTTTCTCACTGGTGACCTACTTTCTGGCAACGTGAATAGCCTTTAAAAATGGTCAAGCCAGTTCTGATTGCTTTAAAAAAAAATCGAGTTTGAGTTGCTTATTCATCCTATATACTTGTCTAACTTACTCTCCCGGAACAGGAATCTAAGACACAATCCAGTGGCTTCGGTCTGGGCCATCTTGTTCGTATTCTCCAAGGTCATCGAGCTGGGAGACACGGCGTTCATCGTCCTCCGGAAGCAGCGTTTCCTCTTCCTTCACTGGTATCATCACATAACTGTGCTCTTGTACACGTGGTACTCCTGTGCGCAGGGAGTCCCCACGGCCCGCTACTTCATCAACCTGAATGCTCTAGCCCACGCCTTCATGTATCCCTACTACACCGCACGAGCAGCGAAGGTCCACGTCCCCCGCCGCCTCGCTATGGTCATCACCCTCTTCCAAATCACCCAGATGATCTTCGGCATCTATGCCAACGCCTACGCCTACTTCGCAAAGAAGGCCGGCCTCCACTGCGAGACCCCATGGGAGAATATCTACATATCCGCTCTCATGTACCTCTCCTACTTCCTGCTCTTCCTCAACTTCTTCGTCGACGCCTATCTCAGACGCACCTTCAACAAGATGAAGACCTCTGCCGCCAAGGGCAAGGACATCGGGGAAGAACTCACGGATTACCTCAAAATCAATTGATCAAATGCTCCATCTTTCAAGGCATTGTGATGGGTTCACCGAGCTTCATTTTCTTCTTCATATTTTATCCATTTGTATGCCCGAAATCTGATATTGCCATATGTGGCAGGCCGAGGGTGTATGATAGGACGATGCAATTTGCGTTTTTTTTTCTCATGCAAGTGGCATGTGCGATTGAATTGGTAGGACAGCAATATTCCCTTGAGAAGCCAATCCGAAATCCTGACACTTTGGTTTCACTGGTAAATTTCGGAAAAGTTAGCGTTCGTCTTTTGTTCATCCTTTCTGCAAGATAGAAAGGACACCACATAAATCTTTCTCTCCCATACGAGTCCATGGATTCTAAAAGTCCGTTACAGGGATTTCATCATTCGGGCCGCATAATACACTGAATGACTGACTCTTGAAATCCTTCGCCATTTTTTGCCAGGCAGATAATTTTCCTATTCATTGGATTCTTCTAATTTTCCACAATAAGTACAGTTACTCTGTTCATTTTAACATTTTCAATCGGGGATCGGGTGAAAGAGGCCAAGGCCTATTCAGGCATATTGCGCTGGGATAAAAAATAAAATCTGGAGTAAATTGTTCCATTTTTACAGAAGCAAAAACGTGGAGACACGTTGCTTCAGACATGTACTTCCATTTAAACTTCCCATTTCATTTACTCGAGGTCCATCGCAGCTTCGGGTCAATCACTTATTGAGGAGAAACTTTTTTGGTTCCCGCGATAAATCGCTCTTTAACACCACCCGACGGTCCTGGCCGATATCGGTTTATATCAGCTTGTCTTGATATGTGAAGGGAGTCACCATTATTCCAATATTCGACAAATTTTCACGGGGTTTCTCTTAAATTCTGACCTTGGAAGGACTAGTCGCAAACTCTTTTCCGTCATCTTCCTGTGTCAGAATTGGAACAGGTGCGTGGGTACATTTCGTTACCCCAGTGATGCCGAAAGATTAGCCACATCTGGCAGCCCTGCATGTTGTTCTCTCTCCCACTCATGCTCACCCTCCTCTTCCCAACGTTCAGCCTTCAAAAGTAATCATTACCGTTATTAATGAACTGTAATCAACGAATAAATGAGAGGGTTAGAAGATCATCATTAACCTCTCAGTCCCGCACCACGCCTCATCCACAGGACTCGCCAACTCGCCTCCTTCTCAATCGAGACTGTCCGCATTCAAAATGTGATTGCGAATACGGAGTAAAACGAAAAAGTAAATCTTTTGTACAGTGATCGGAACCAGATTTGCCCATCGCTTGAGTGCAAGCGCGATTGCTGGAAGCGGAGGGAAGTGAAAGTTGAGGATCGTGAAGGCAGGGAATAGTGCAGGCGGAGGGTGCGAAGGAGCGAAGATTGAAGGTAGCACAGGTGCAGTGTAGTGAAGACGGAAGCAGGATGTCCTCATCAATCAATCCTTTTTTGGTCAGCATTCAGTAGTAAAATTAATTTGGCAATAATGTTGTTTAAGTTCAGTCCAAACGACAGAATGCATTAAAATCTTGGGAGGAATTGGCTTCATTCAATTTAGAACTCAGACACCACTTGTCTTGTAGTACCATGGAAAAATACAGGTATGAAAAATGTTGAAAACAAAACACGGAAGGAATGGATGCTATTTGTCTGGCACACAGTAATTCTTCAGTGATTGGATGAGTAAAAATTTAACCGCATGCAGATTCCTACCCCATTTAATAATTGTGCAGGAATGCCAACAAACCTGGGATGCCGAGGTACTTGCATGATGGAGGTTGCATGAGGCTGACTTGAGGGAGGAAGTGACATTCCCTAGCGAAGGCGTTGGCGGATTCTTTATTGGCAGTCAGAGCTGCAAACTCAAGAAGGGCCAATGGCTCGCGTCTCAATGCCATTGTGGGGAGTTTTGGAGGACTGAAAGCTAAGATTCTCCTCATAGTTTATATAGGTATCATTTCAGTGCAACGGGGCTAAGTGACATAAATCGGCGAAAAAGATCGCCCTTGTGAGAAGTGAACGGGAAAGTTCGAGAAAGTTGAAGCGGACATGGTTGTGCCCTTGCCCCTTGCGACAAGATCTCGTGGGAATCACGTGAGGCGTGGAGTTGAGATCTACAGGAAGTACTGTAGAACATTAGTTCAGACACATGTAGTTAGATGGCGCTGCCAACAAAGCGTACAAATGTGGGATACAGCTGGACGTCCTGGTTCCTTTTTCTGAACAAAATATTTACCTTTTCGTTTTACTCCGTATTCGCAAACACGTTTTGAATGCGGACAGTCTCGATTGAGGATGCGAGTTGGCGAGTGCCGTGGATGAGGCGTGGTGCGAGACTGAGCGGTTAATTATATTTTATCTCTCTCATTTATTCATTGATTACTGTTCATTAATTACGGTAATAATTATTTTTGAAGGTTTATGTGGCTAATATTTCAGTATCACTGGGGTCACGAAATGTACCCTCGCGCCTGTTCCAATTCTGACACAGGAGGAAGACGTAAAAGAGATTGCGACTAGTTCTTCCAAGGTCAGAATTTAAGAGAAACCCCGTGAAATTTTGTTGAATATTTGAATAATGGTGACTGCCTTCACATATCAAGGCAAGCCAATATAAACCGATATCGGCCAGGACCGCGTCTTCGAATGGGAGCTGGCCGGGGAATGGGCCGAAGACGTCCAGTGGTGGTTCATGGACTATTGGACCCTCTCCTTCGTCTTCGTCGCCGTCTACCTGATCCTCGTGTTTTGGGGTCGGTGAGGAATGGCATACCGCCCGCCCTACGATCTGCAGAAACCCATTATCGTTTGGAATTTTTTTCTCTCCGTCTTCAGCATCCTTGTGGTGTATCGTGGTCTCCCTGAGGTGTACCGAAGCATTCGACATGATTCCCTCTACCACTCGATGTGTTTGGGAATGTCAGTATGATTCCTCATCCTTCCAGTAGGGGAGATTTGCATTTTTTACATTTATTATCTTGTAATGAATAAAATACTGCACTCATCACGTAGCGCGGAAAGTTCCGAAGCTATTAATTATAAGGATAAAAGAGACTTCAGACACTATCCTAAGATAAATTATTTCGCACAGTTGGATATCATCTTCATGACCCAATGAGGTGAATGTGCACACACCATTTCAATTCATTCGAATTTAGGATTCCAGCATCCGCGGTAAACCTGCACATAAACGCCACATGTTTTCGACCTCTTGCCTGGTCATCATTTTTGCACAAGGTTATTGGGATTTCAGTGCGATTCCCATCTCGTCCTCAAATAACGATGACTGATCTGCTTGGCATTCACGACGGCATTCGCAGAGTCTTTGTCAATGTCATGGATCGGTACTGAAACCTGAGCGAGAAAGAGCGTCATCCAGGAATTTTCCTCTCTAGCTAATTCCCATTCCAAGCTTGCGAAGTTCAACAATCTTTATGCAGACACTTCGCGGACTCTCACGAACTTTCTCAAAACACAAAACAAGCATAAAATGCCTTGCTCGCATTCTCCCAGGGTGGTAAGGTCGCAAAAGGAGGATGCGCGCAACCAAATTCGTTCACGATTGCTATTCATGCCATTTTCTCATTTACCGATGACCTACTTTCAGGCAACGTGAATAGCCTCTAGAAATGTGCAAACCATTTCTGAATGCTTGCGAAACTTGGTAATTTTTTTTTAAATATTGAGATGTTTATTCGACCTATATACTTGTCTAACTTATTCTCCCGGAACAGGAATCTACGACATATTCCAATGGTTTCGGTCTTGGCCATCTTGTTCGTGATCTCCAAGTTCATCGAGCTGGGAGACAGCGTTCACCGTCCTTCGGAAGCAGCGTTTCCTCTTCCTCCACTGGTATCATCACATCACGGTGCTCTTATACACGTGGTACTCCTGTGCGTAGGGAGTCCTGGCCCGCTTCTTCATCATCCTCAATGTTCTACCCCACGCCTTTATGTATCCGTACTACACAGCAGGAAGAAGAAATTGGGAGGGGACCCACGTGAAGGATTGTACAATTCTATGAAGACATCATTTATTCCATACTCCTAACGTGCGACTCCCCCCAGTCACGGGCGGCGCCATACTTGCAACGCACCATCTAGTGCTAGCGCACCAAGGGAATCCTTCTCAATTTGGCCATCAGATTCGAGCTGCTTCGACCGACCAGAAAAATGAAAGAGGCCCGACGGTCCACTTCTTGTGTGACGTCTGAGGACGGGCTATTGCTCTCCTCGCTATCCCTCCGGTCCATTTTAAATGCACTACCTCAGAGTCAGCTCCATCGCAGTCGCGTGCAGGGGAAACGAATCCGTGGAACCATCGGCAAAAAAAGTCGATTCTTTCCCACAAGTGAAGACAGCAAAAGGAACTCCACTCCACTAGGCCTTCTTCCTCTCACAGACTCAGACTTCATCCTCTCCTCAAAAGCGAAGACGGACGCCCGCCAGCCCGGCAAGAAACCCCACGACTACTCTGCCGAATCCCATGGAATGATGTTCCCCGAAGGGATCGTCGAAGGTGAAGCGCGGAGGTATTCGCTTCGTAATGATATTAGTTTGGTCCGGGAAGGAATTACGAGTAGATCAGTATGGGTAGCCGAACGCTGAAATATCATTTCACCGTAGTTAAAAAACGATGAAAGTATTTACACATTTCAGGGATAATAACCACGATATTCTCAGACACTATCCATTCAATTATGTTGGGTAAAGGTAAGCAAGTGCAAGGGTTGATGCCGAAGACTTGAAAGTGTAACAGCCCATCAAAATTCAGTCAGGACTAATGGAATTTCTTTTTCTTCTCGAGACGACTTCCTCAAAATAAAAATTATTTTCTATATTAAATTCTAGAATGCGTATTGGGGAGTGAGGGTCAGGGTACGATGATTCATTCATTTCTACTCTATCTTCAAAAGTTACCATTATCATTGTATGTTAGTTTAAAATTAAGTTATTCTATACCACTCAATCACTCTACTTATTGAGGCTTGTCATGAAGGCTACTCATGAAGGCTATTTATAAAGAAATTAAATATCTTTCATTGAATATGAATCATAGGGAAAGTTTCACGAGTAGAAGGAAACTTGAGGTGTGATCAATACCGAGCTGTTAGCTAATTGGCTATAAATGCTAATTGAAAAATTATCTCGAACGACCTTCGATGATAATTATATGCTGGTAATTATTCAAAGGAGTTAATAGTCATTAGGAATTTTCGCCGACGAGTCAAGGTGCTCTCTAAATCGCGCGTGTAATGGATTAATCACGTCGTCATGTTGGTGGATAATTACGGGGTATCTTTTTGCCTATCAGAGATGATATGCGGCAAGCTCCGCTGTTCGCTGAAATTTGTTCACGCGGGGGAAAGTTCCCAGTACGTTATCAATTTTGGGCTTTTTCTTTTAATGATTATTGAAAGCCTTGCTATAGGGAAATAAATTTTTAACAAATCATTAAAGCTTTTAGAGACGTGTCAAATTATGCTCAGCCAAATTCTTTGGAAAATTGGCATAGGCAGAGAGAAGGGAAATATCAGTGAAAAGGTGATGATCTTAGCTATGCTACGTCCGTCGAACCCCTAATGTCGCTTTCTCAGGCTAATGAATTTGAATAACATTTTCTCAAAGTTATATCTCAACTTCCACTTCCCGAACTCGTCCGATCTTAGGGAAACCCACCGCCGACGAACTCCGTTACGGAAGAAACCATGGATTTTCAAAAATCAACCGAGGGCTTCTTGCATTTCTGCATAATAACTTATTATTTGTCTTCCCTTTCTAGCCTTCATCTTTCTTCTCACGTGAGCGAAAGAGCAATCACTCCCTCTGACGGAAGGTTATGCGGGACCTCCTTATGTAACCAGAAGAAACCGATGAAACTGAATATGAATCTCATCAAAAAAGGTGCCCTCCTCCCTCACTCAAAGCAGGAATGGAGTATGTAACAAACCGGAACAATGACATGGCGAGTACGAAGCACACGCTTCCGGCGCAACTGATTAGACCCCAAACTGTATAATAAGTGTATTATAAGTGACAGAGGAATATGATTCTCCGCACCAGTCCCGCGCAAGGCCTGCCCTCGGTCCCAACATGTTCCACGATCCTTCGGCCTATCCCAAGCCCAACTACCCGATCTTCAATGGGTCTCGGTACGAACAGCTGACCAAGAGCCACGAATACCTCCGGGAAAGTGGGATCCCCTTCGAAAGGGAAAACTTGCCGTATTTCTTCGTCTTCGAATGGGAGCTGGCCGGGGAATGGGCCGAAGACGTCCAGTGGTGGTTCATGGACTATTGGACCCTCTCCTTCGTCTTCGGCGCCGTCTACTTGATCCTCATTTTTTGGGGTCGGCGATGGATGGCATCCCGTCCGCCCTACGATCTGCAGAAACCCTTCATCGCTTGGAATGTTTTTATTTCCGTCTTCAGCATCCTTGTGGTTAATCGGTGTCTCCCTGAGGTGTACCGAAGCATTCGACATGATTCCCTCTACCATTCGATGTGTTTTGTAACGTGAGTAGGATTCCTCATCTTTCCAGTAGGGAGAGAATTGAATTTGTTAAATATTGGGTTGGAGAGAAAGTCTTGCAACACTTTCTGAGACTATTTATGAAAATTTTCAAAGGAATGATGGGCGGGGCTTTGCATTTGTATATCCTGGAATGTTCTCGAAGCTTCTGCCCTCGGGGTATATAAGGCGGCATCTGCCATCAGTTGGCAGCCATGGCTTCGATTGAACAAGCAACTCTTCGCCCCATCGTCTACAACGAGTTCCTCCAAGGACACTCTACGAGAGCCGCCGCGGACAACATCTGCGCTGCATTCAAGGGCAACGTCGTCCACTATTCCACGGTGTCTCGATGGTTGAAACGCTTGGAATCTGGCGACACGACCTTCGGAGATCGACCACGCTCAGGACGTCCATCTACAGTGGATGACGAAACTCTGCGGAACGCACACAACGCGAAGCCGAACGCCACCACTCTCGAATCGGCGACTACACTTGGAGTCACCCATATGGCCATCGGCAACCATCCGAACGACCTCAGCTATCGGAAGGTTTACTCGACATGGGTCCCTCATCAGCTCAGCGACTCTGACAAAGCAAGCCGTGTCGGTGTCTGCGAATCACAGCTCCTTCGTCCGCACAGAAAGGACCTTCTGAAGGAAATCGTTACTGGAGGTGAGAGCTGGGTCCTCGACGTCGACCATACTCGCAAGAGTCAGTGGCTTCCACGAGGCGAATTGCCGCCACACGAACCGAAACCAGGGTTCCACGAGAAGAAGGTTCTTCTCTGCTGTAGGTGGGATTCAGAAGGAATGTCGTACTATGAGCTCCTGCCAACCGGTACCACCGTGATTGCCGTCGTCTACGCTGCTCGACTTCAGAAGTTGGCTGGCGTCATTCAAAAAGAGCGTCCCAAACGCGACAAAGTTCTCCTTCTGCATGACAACGCTCGTCCACGTGTTGCGAAGATGACTCGCCAGACGATTTCGGAACTGGGCTGGGAAGTTTTACCCCATCCAGCGTATTCTCCGGACTTGGCCCCTTCCGACTATCACTTGTTCCGGGCCCTCAAGAATCACCTGCGGGACAAGGCCTTCGACGATCGAGCACAGCTCGAAAATGATGTCGGCCGTTTCTTCGCTTCGCAATCGCCAGAGTTCTGGGCAAAGGGCATCGAGCAGTTACCCGTGCGTTGGGAACATGTCATAGACAACAATGGTCATTACATTGTAGACTGAAATTGCATTTCAATAAAGTTATAAAATTTTGAAAAATTTGCGCAGAGTGTTGCAAGACTTTCTTTCCAACCCAATATATAATCTTGTAATGCAATGAAATACCTTCTTGCACTCATCAACTAATGCGGAAATTTTAGTACCTCCGTAATTAAATTTTAAATAATTTTTTCCGTCATGTCCGTGATATCCGATGGGATAGGGTAGGAATATTTTTTAGCCTAATTTATTTGCGACATTTGGATTAATCAGAGCTACTTCTAGTCTAATATGTTCAAATGAATTCTTTGCACATTGGTACGGGGGACAACAAGAAGCTTAAAGTTATTCCTCAGAATGCAGTGATAGCTACATTAGAGCGACACAGCCTGTTTGCCTTACATACTCTGTTTCGTTTGTATGCTTGTTTTTTTTTTATTTTCATCCGCCTTCTAAAGATTTCCTGAGATCCGCTTTTTTTTCGAAAAACTCGGAATTTTTCGATAGAACGGCGTGGACTGATCTCATCAGACCTCAACATGATTATTGAAACATACCAGTCGATCTTGCAGTGCATTAAACATGGTGAGATCGTCGCCCGGCAATGCAACTTTACGCCATCACGATTTATACGCCTGAAGGAATAACGATTTTTGGTTAGAATCCATCCGTGATTTAGGACTTCTTGATGGATATGAGGAAGAGTTGATGCGTTCAGTTAGACATTGCTGAATGTCGACTTAACTACAGACAAGAGTCGCGATGTCTAAATCGAACCTTCTTTCCAACATGAATTATATTTCCAAAGTATCGTGAATATGAGAGTAGACAATGAAAACAGGGTAGAAGGCGGTGAATGGCATAATACGGCATTCCAGCTTCGTAACTTCTCTCATCATATTTCGAATAAAGTCGTGAATGAATCGCGTTTCTTCGGAATCGACTGAAAGGGTCGGGGAGTAAACCTACTTTTGGAAATTGTGGGCTTGTTTGGTTAAACAGTATTTACTCACGCCAGCGTGAGTTTAGATGTCATCCTATATACTTGTCTAGCTTATTCTCCCGGAACAGGAATCTACGACACAATCCAATGGTTTCGGTCTGGGCCATCTTGTTCGTATTCTCCAAGGTCATCGAGTTGGGAGACACAGCGTTCATCGTCCTCCGGAAGCAGTCTTTCCTCTTCCGCCACTGGTACCATCACATCACAGTGCTCCTGTACACATGGTATTCCTGTGCGCAGTTAGTCCCCACGGCCCGCTTCTTCATCATCCTAAATGCTCTAGCCCACACCTTCACGTATCCATACTACACCGCACGAGCAGCGAAGGTCCACGTCCCCCGCCGCCTCGCAATGGCCGTCACCCTTTTCCAAATCGTCACGATGATCTTCGGCATCTACGCAAACGCCTACGCCTACTTCGCGAAAAAGGCCGGCCTCCACTGTGAGACTCCGTGGGAGAACATCTACATCTCCGCTCTCATGCACCTATCATACTTCCTGCTCCTCCTCAAATTCTTCAAAGACGCCTACTTCAGAAGCTGCATCAACAAGATGAAGACCTCTGCCGCCAAGGGCAAAGACATCGGGGAAGAACTCACGGATTACCTCAAAATCAATTGATCTAATGCTCCATCCTTCAAGGCATTGTGATGGATTCACTGAGATTCATTTTCTTTTTCTTCATATTTTTTTCTCTTGTATGCCCGAAATCTGATATTACCATATGCGGTAGTCCCAGTGTGTATGATAGGACAATGTAATTCGTGTTTTTTTTTTTCTCATGCAAATGGCATGTGCGATTGAAATGTTAGGACAACAATATTCCCTAGAAAAGCTAATCTTATATCCTGCCATTTTGGTTTCACTGGCAAATTTCATAACGGTCAGCGTTCGTCTTCTGTTCATCCTTTCTGTATGATAGAAAGGACACTACATAAATCTTTCCCTCCCATACGAGTCCATTGATTCTAAAGGTCCGTTACAGGGATTTCAGCATTCGGGCCGCATAATGCCCTGAATGACTGACTCTTGAAAGCCTTCGCCATTTTGTGCCAGGCAGATAATTTTCTTATTTATTGGGTTTTTCTTATTTTTCACAAGAAATATCCCTGTCTTACTCCCGTCATTTAAACTTGTTCGATCAGGGATCGGGTGGACGAGGGCGAGGCCTATCAGGCATATTGAGCTGGAGGAAAAATAAAATCTGGAGTAAATTGTTTAATTTTTTCCGAAGCAAAAACGTGAAGACCCGATGCTTCAGACAAGAACTTCCATTTAAATTTATCATTTCATTTACTCGAGGTCCATCGCAGCTTCGGGTCAACCACTTTTTGAGGAGAAACTTTTCTGGTTCCCGCGATAAATCTCTCTCGAACGCCACCCGGCGATCCTCGCCGATATCGGTTTATATCAGCTTGCCTTGATATGTGATGGTAGTCACCATTATTCCAATATTCGACAAAATTTCACGGGGTTTCTCTTACTTTCTGACCTTGGAATAACTAGTCCCAATCTCTTTTACGTCATCGCCTGTGACAGAATTGGAACAGGCGCGTGCGTACATTTCTTGACCCCAGTGATGCCGAAAGAATACCCACATATGCACCCCTGCATGTCGTCCTCTCGCCCACTCATGCTCACCCTCCTCTTCCCAACGTTTAACCTTCAATAGTAATCATTACCGTTATTAATGAACAGTAATCAACGAATAAATGAGAGGGATAGGGGAACATCATTAACCTCTCAGTCTCGCACCATGCCTCATCCGCAGCACTCGCCAACTCGCCTCCTTCTTAATCGAGACTGTCCGCATTCAAAATGTGATTGCGAATACGGAGTAAAACGAAAAAGTAGATCTTTGTTTAGTGATAGGAACCGGATTTGCCCATCGCTTGAGTGCAAGCGATGGATTGTTGGAAGTAGAGGGAAGTGAAAGTTGAGGATCGTGAAGGCAGGGAATAATGAAGGCGGAGTGTAGCGAAGGAGCGAGGATTGAAGGTAGCAGAGGTGCAGTGTAGTGATGACGGAGGGGTGGAAGCAGGATGTCCTCATCAATCAATCCTTTTTTGGTCAGTATTCAGTAGTAAAATTAATCTGGCAATAATGCTATATAAGTTCAGTCCAAACGACAGAATGCATTGAAATTTTGGGAGAAATTGGCTTCTTTCAATTTAGAGCTCAGACACCACTTGTCTTGTAGTTCCATGGAAAAATACAGATATGAAAAATGTTGACAACAAAACAAGGAAGGAATGGATGCTATTTGTCTGGCACACAATTATTATTCAGCGATTGGATGAGTTCACCTTAAATCGCATGCAGATTCCTACCCCAGTTCATAATTGTGCATGAATGCCAACAAACCTGGGAAGCCGAGGTACTTGCATGAGGGAGGATGCATGAGGCTGACTTGAGGGAGGAAGTGACATTCCCTAGCGAAGGCGTTGGCGGATTCTTCATTGGCAGTCAGAGCTGTAAACTCATGAATGGCCAATGGCTCGCGTCTCATTGCCATTGTGTGGAGTTTTGGAGGAGGACTGAAAGCTAAGATTCTCAGCGTAGTTTATATAGGTATCATTTCAGTGCAACTAAGTGATATAGATCGGAGAAAAAGATCACCCTTGTGAGAAGTGAACGGGAAAGTTCGAGAAAGTTGAAGCGGACATGGTTGTGCCCTTGCCCCTTGCGACAAGATCTCATGGGAATCACGTGAAGATTGGAGTTAACATCTACGGGAAGTAATTCAGAACATTAGTTCAGACAAATGTAGTTAGATGGCGCTGCAATCAACGCGCACAAATGTGGCATACAGCTCTGCGTCCTGGTTCCTCTCACTGAACAAAAGATTTACTTTTTCGTTTCACTCCGTATTCCCAATCACATTTTTAGTGCGGACAGTCTGGATTGAGGAGGAGAGTTGGCGAGTGCTGTGGATGTGGCGTGGTGCCAGACTGAGAGGTTAATGATGTTCCCCAATCCCTCTCATTTATTCGTTGATTACTGTTCATTAATTACAGTAATAATTATTTTTGGAGGTTGAACGTTGGGAAGAGGAGGGTGAGCATGAGTGGGCGAGAGGACGACATGAAGGGCTGCCAGATGTGGCTAATCTTTCGGCATCACTGGCGGCAGGAAATGTACCCAAGCGCCTGTTCCAAATCTGACACAGGCGATGACGTAAAAGAGATTGCGACTAGTCCTTCCAAGGTCAGAATGTAAGAAAAACTGCGTGATATTTTGTCGAATATTGGAGTACTGGTGACTACCATTACATATCAAGACAAGCTGATATAAACCGATATCGGCGAGGATCGCCGGGTGGCGTTTAAGAGTGCGATTTATCGCGGGAACCAGAAAAGTTTCTCCTCAAAAAGTGGTTGACCCGAAGCTGCGATGGACCTCGAGTAAATGAAATGAGAAGTTTAAATGGAAGTTCTTGTCTGAAGCATTGGGTCTCCACATTTTTGCTTCGATAAAAATGGAACAATTTACTCCAGATTTTATTTTTCCTCCAGCGCAATGTGCCTGAATAGGCTTTCGCCTCGTCCACCCAATCCCCCATGGAACAAGTTAAAATAACCGGAGTAACTGGGGCACTCATTGTGGAAAATTAGAAGAATCCTTTAACTAAGAAAATTATCTGCCTGGCAAAAAATGGCGAAGGCTTTCAAGAGTCAGTCATTCAGGGTATTATGCGGCCCGAATGCTGAAATCCCTGTAACGGACCTTTAGAATCCATGGACTCGTATGGGAGAGAAAGATTTATGTAGTGTCCTTTCTATCTTGCAGAAAGGATGAACAAAAGGCGAACGCTGACCGTTATGAAATTTACCAGTGAAATCAAAATGGCAGGATTTAGGATTAGCTTCTCTAGGGAATATGGTTGTCCTAACAATTCAATCGCACATGCCATTTGCATGAGAGAAAAAAAAGCAAATTCCATCGTCCTATCATACACCCTCGGCCTACCGCATATGGTAATATCAGATTTCGGGCATGCAAGAGAAAAAAATATGAAGAAAAAGAAAATGAATTTCAGTGAATCCATCACAATGCCTTGAAGAATGGAGCATTTGATCAATTGATTTTGAGGTAATCTGTGAGTTCTTCCCCGATGTTCTTGCCCTTGGCGGCAGAGGTCTTCATCTTGTTGATGGAGCGTCTGAGATAGGCGTCGACGAAGAAGTTGAGGAAGAGCAGGAAGTAGGAGAGGTACATGAGAGCGGAGAAGTAGATGTTCTCCCACGGAGTCTCGCAGTGGAGGTGGGCCTTTTTCGCGAAGTAAGCGTAGGCGTTAGCGTAGATGCCGAAGATCATCTGGGTGATTTGGAAGAGGGTGATGGCCATAGCGAGGTGGCGGGGGACGTGGACCTTCGCTGCTCGTGCGGTGTAGTATGGATACATGAAGGCGTGGGCCAGAGCATTCAGGATGATGAAGAAGCGGGCCGTGGGGACTCCCTGCGCACAGGAGTACCACGTGTATAAGAGCACCGTGATGTGATGATACCAGTGAAGGAAGAGGAGACGCTGCTTCCGGAGGACGATGAACGCCGTGTCTCCCAGCTCGATGACCTTGGAGACCACGAACAAGATGGCCCAGACAGAAACCACTGGATTGTGTCTTAGATTCCTGTTCAGGGAGAATAAGTTAGACAAGTATATTGGACGAATAACGAACTCAAAATTAAAAAAAATTACCAAGTTTCGCAAGCAATCAGGAGTGGTTTGCCCATTTCTAGAGGCCATTCACGTGGTGTGAAAGTAGGTCATCAGTAAGTGAGAAAATGGCATGAATAGCAATTGTGAACGAATTTGGTTGAGCGCATCCTCCTTTTGCACCTGGGAGAATGCGAGATATGCATTTTATGCTTGTTTTGTGTTCTGAGGAAGTTCGTGAGAGTCCGCGAAGTGTCTGCTTAAAGATAGCTGAACTTCGCAAGTTTGGAATGGGAAATAGCTAGAGAGGAAAATTCCTGGATGACGCTCTTTCTCGATCAGTTTTCAGTACCGATCCATCACACTGGCAAAGACTCTGCGAATGCCGTCGTGAATGCCAAGCAGATCAGTCACCGTTATTTGAGGACGAGATGGGAATCGCACTGAAATCCTAATAACCTCGTGCAAAAATGATGACCAGGCAAGAGGTCGACAACATGTGGCGTTTATGTGCAGGTTTACCGCGGATGCTGGAATCCTAAATTCGAATGAATAGAAACGGTGTGCGCACATACACCTCATTGGGCCATGAAGATGATATCCAATTGGGCACAATAATTTATCTTCACAGATTGTCTAAAGTCTCTTTTATCCTCATAATTAATTACATCGGAACTTAAGCTTCTTCTCTGAATTACTCTTAGGCAATGACGCTTGAGAGAAAGAAAAAATACAAAAAATGACATCTGAACTCACGCTGGTGTGAGTAAAGGCTTTTCAACCAGACATTGGGTGTTAAGGGTTTTCATCCAAATGAGGAACTGGGTAAGTCAGCTTATGACTTCTTTGCGCTAAGTAAGTGCTGGAATAAGTAGACTTGTATAATCCGATCTTGATCTAGAATATTAGGTTTACTCTCAAATAAATAGAGCTAAAAAATTATCCTATCCTTTTCCATCGGATATCACGGACATCACGAAAAAAATTATTTAAAAATTAATTATGGAGGTCCTGAAATTTCCGCACTAGGTGATGAGTGCTGTAAGTATTTTATTAATTACAAGATAATAAATGTAAAAAATTTAAGTCTCTCCCTACTGGAAAGATGAGGAATCCTACTCACATTCCCAAACACATCGAGTGGTAGAGGGAATCATGTCGAATGCTTCGGTACACCTCAGGGATACCCCGATAAACCGCAAGGATGCTGAAGACGGAGAGAAAAAAATTCCAAGCGATAAGGGGTTTCTGCAGATCGTAGGGCGGGCGGGATGCCATCCAAGCGGCTGGGGTCTTGTGCTCCTAGTCCATCTGCCGCTGCTTCTGCTTCCTCTCCCAGGTTATCAGGTACTTGGTGGTGACCCGCAGAAGCCGGGTAAGGGGCCGGTCGAGGGTAAGCTTCTGCTTCAAATACGGCAAGTTTTCCCTTTCGAAGGGGATCCCACTTCGTCGGAGGTATTCGTGGTTCTTGGTCAGCTGTTCGTACCGAGACCCATTGAAGATCGGGTAGTTGGGCTTGGGATAGGCCGAAGGATCGTGGAACATGTTGGGAACGAGAGCAGGCTTCGCGCGGGACTGATGCGGAGTATCTATATTACCCCCTCACTTATGATACACTTATTATACTGATCAGGGTCGAATCGGTCGCGCGGGAAGCGTGTGCTTTGTACCCACCACGTCATTGTTCTGGTCTGGTACATACTCCATTCCTGGTTTGGGCGAAGGAGGAGGGAAGCATTTTTCATGAGTTTTATATTCAGTTTTGCTTACTTTGCCTAATTACCATCATTTGTTTTCATTCAGAATTCGCGAAATTTCAGAATTATCGAGTTCGCACAAAAATGGCTTAATTTCAGAATCATTCGACCCTGAACGATGATTTCGAGGTCAAAATTAATTGACCCTGTTCTGGTATGCGCTGTTGAAGGGATTCCGAGTTGGCGAGGCAATTATGCAATGCAGGGTGAAAGGGAAACTGGTCTCTCCGTTAGGTAATACAGGAAAATTCTGCTTTTTATTTTTGCAAAGCAATTTCCGTCGAAAGTTTTATTCTTAAGATTTTCGCAGTGGAAAACCGGAAAGGACATTTAAACGTTTCCTTTAAAAAAAAAAATGTTTTTCTATTCTTCCTCACGCATGAAAATCAGCAATGAAGTTTTTTTTATTTGGCCATGAAGGCCAAATTGCAATTCCAGCGGAGCTTGGCGCATATCATCCCTGATAGGCAAAAAAGATACCACGTAATTATCCGCCAGCGAGACGACATGATTAATCCATTACACGCGCGATTTAGAGAGCACCTTGACTCATCGGCGAGAATTCCTAATGACTGTTCCCTCATTTGAATTATCATCAGCAGATAATTATCGTCGAAGGTCGTTCGAGATGATTTTTCAATTAGGATTTATAGCCAATTAACTAACAAACTGGCACTGATCACACCTAAGGTTTCCTTCCACTCGTGAAACTTTCCCTATGATTCATATTCAATGAAGGATATTGACTTTCTTCATTGATAGTCTTCATAAATAGTATGAAATAACTTAATTTTAGACTAACATACAATGATAACGGTAGCTTTTGAATATAGAGTAGAAATGAATGAATCATCGTCCCCTGACCCTCACTCCCCAATACTCATTCTAGGTTTTAACATAGAAATAAATCAATTTTGAGGAAATTGTCTTGAGTAGAAAAAGCAGTTACATTAGTCCGGCAAATACCAAAATTTCATTTTTAATGGGCCGACGGAAAGCGAAGTGACATCATAATAGGCCTTTCAGGCTGTCTGGATGCTCCAAGTAGAAGCTTCAGACCGTCGACTAATTGCTACAGTATCATTCTTGGCCTGAGGAAATCCCTCTAGCAAAGAAAATGAAGCATTTTTGTATAAAAACAGTCTCTATCTGCATTTTTCCATGAGAAAAATGCAGTTCCCAGAGGAACCCTAGGCCGTTTGGTTGGGTGGAGTACAGCTTCCAAGAATGGGAAATTTCCGGGAAACTGGGAACGCTTTCATGCACTTTCGAGTCGGTTCAGTGTTGAATCTTCTCTACGGAGTTTATTATGTACATGCTGAGTTTGAAGCGTATTAGGAAATCCATACGATCGATCTGAATGCAACGTAGTTCTCGAAAGGTTTTAAGAATGAACCCGAAATTCGATTTGGTGAGCCAGAAATATGATCAGAATTAACTTGTTTGCTAAAATAGATCTGCATCATGAATAATGGCAGCATCACATTTTACTTTGAGAAGAGCCAAGTGAAGGATGGTCATGTGAACACCAAGAACAATAATCTTCTTTCCAGTTCGCATAAAATTACTACTTCTCTGAAGATCATAAATTCTGATGCTGAAGCCGGAAGACCTCCTCGACGAGGACGTAGCAAAACGCGTCGTAGACGAGCGTTCCGAGGTCGACGGTAAATCCAAATGGAAATTGTGTGAGCGCTCCTTCGTTCTCCGAATGAAGCATGATACTTGCGAAGATTTTTGCGGCCACTAAGGAGGTGAGGTATGGCTTTCCTCGGCCGACCTTCCTTCTTATTGGCTACCTGTTTGTGGACCGGTCGAAACGAGGAAGAAGGAAAAAATAGAAGGGAACAAGGAAGGTTTAGAAGGAAACGGGTCGGAAAAAAGGAAACGAGTCGTCCGGATGCAGGGAATGTGATCCTCGTTCGGTTGGGCGGGTGACGAAACCCGCATGTCGACTCTTCGGTGGAGATGCATCCACCCTCACGACTTCGTTCGATGTCCTCGTCTACGAGGTTGCGGACGGACGAGCGGATGGAGGATCGGGAACCAGAGCCATTTCGTCCCGTGCGGGGAGGACCTTCCTTTTCGCTGGTGTTTTTCTTTCTGCCGTCCGAGTGCGCTTGACGAATGAGAAGAGAAACCCGGAAGGAAGGGGGTCGAAATCCACATGGTTGTGGGTATTTCGTGTCGAAATGTAGGGGGAGGGGGGAGGGGGGGAGGTGCCGCCGACGCGGCTGGCTGGGATTTCTCCCTCCAGATGGAGTTCCAGTTGGCTTTCAGGCATTCGGAGATTACATGTGTCACGTTCAACATTGAGAGTACGATGAAGTATTTGAATCCGCAATCCATAGTGGATGTCATTGTCAGTTCCCAGAACGGAAGATCAGTATCTCAGTCGATGATAAATATTAAGTGGCGCTGAGAAAGTGCAACGGGACTTGAAAATGCACTCTGACGGTATATTTGAAAAGGAACCACGACCTCATTGACCGATCCGTTCTTCTTCCCCTTTTTTCTTTTTTTTTATAAGCTTACTCTCCTCACTTTGGAAATGCACAAGGAAATGGAATATTGCGACTTGATGACGCTTGGAGCTCGTAGAGACAGCGCAATACTTGCCCTCATTTATTCGATCCTTCAGACGGGAAAACCAAGTGGAAATGTTACATCCTCCCGCTCATCATCTCTTCGACGCTAAATATCGACAAGTGGCCATGTGATAATTGTGTCAACGATATGATCTGGAAATACGATCAATGATACGATGAATTGTATCCGGATATGATCAATCGTAGAACACACGTCTACAGGGACGCCTGCTTCCATGATACCGCCTCGATACAGAGTAATTCGATGAACTGGGAACAGATGGCGGGTGACCAGGCCACCCCAACCTCGTTGGGTCAGCCTCCCCCGCCGGCCCACCTTCTGCCCGACAAGACGCGGGTGAATCCCGTCGATGCTCGGCGGGCTCTCAACGAGTGATGCCACTCTGCCGCGCCCGCCAGGATCCCGCTCGTGCCGACAGAGGCCCGCCACCGGGTCGTAAGAGGTGTGCGACTTGGGTTTGTCGACTACAATGCATTCAGATGGATCGTATGGATTTCCAGATACGCTTCACATTGTGCACGTACGTCATCAACTCCTTAGAAAATATTCGAAACTGAACCGACTCGAAAGTGTATGAGACCGTTACGAATCTCCCGTAAATTTCCCATTTGGGAAGCTGCCCGATGAGAATGTGCCCGAACTAGACGACTAATTGGGTTGAAGGAGATCCGAAAATGTTGATGCGTGATGGCGAATACGTAGCCGCTATGTCGGTGGGATCAGGGACGACTCATTAACTTAAGATCCAGGTATTTCACATTCTGTACTTTATCTTTTCCCACCGAGAGCGTAAGGGAAGAATTTCTTTCTTTATTTGTTTAAACTGGTTAAGCAGTCCTTTTCTTTTCGGTTCTTTTCCCGCCATGGGAATGATCGTCCAGTAAGACTCGGGCGTTCGTCTTCATCGCAGCCGAATTTACTAATCCCTGTTGGAGAGCCAGACGTAGCCTGCACGATCCAAATTAAATAATACCGATAATTTAGCTCCATTCAATTTGAACCATGCCTCCTCCGCGATTAACTTCCTTCTCCGGTCTTCCGGGACCGCTTCATCTGTTTAAACAAATCAATTGAGAAACTGGAGTGTCTTTCCTTACGTTCTCCGTGGGAAAGGAGCACCACGTCGCCTTTAAAGATCCAGAAAACCTTGTAGGTAAAACGCTTGATTGCAGCGCTCAAAATTCGATTAAATCGTCGCAATCGAGGGGCCCTTTGTCGGTGGCGGAACCCCTTCCCCACATTACCTAAATAATTTTGTCGCATTTTCAAGCTACCAGACAAGTTTCCCTAGTCGTCTTCTGAGATGGATGAATGAAACACTAATTAAACAAAGAATTGAGATGGAAGATTTAAAAAGAGGCAGCAGAGCAACGACAGGACTTGGCCCCTCCGCATCTTTTCCACCACCATTGGCGCAGATACTCTCAACCTTCTTCTCAATTCACTTTCGAATCTACCGCCTTTGAATCGCTAACCTCGATGAATGCCATAGTCTCCATGCATAGCGACAATAGCTGCAGTAAAAGATTCCGACGCACCTCGTATATCCCTTTCTTCCTTATTGGCATTCTTTCATTTCCCACTTTTCGGTATTTCAGAATGGTCGTGAGAGTGCGAAACCAATGACATGGAAAAAAAGACCGCAAACATATCGAAACAGGTGGATACACTTCCCCTTCTGGACCTATACCTTTATCGACTTCGCTTCACTCGGAAATGGGAAAAAATCCGAAGGCAAGGTTCCAGATCCGCTGCAGAAACTCAAATTTCCATCGTGCATCCTGCAAAGCGACGGGTGAATTATGATAACATCTTACTTACTGGGCCGATTTCAGGCCGATTTTCTAGCCTCGTCTGGGTGATGTGGCTTCTGATGATGTAATTAACCGATGAGGTACTCCAAGCACTACAAACTACTTGGAATTCAGGGCACGAAGCTCCAGCTACTGGAAAATCCGCTCGATATTTCGGCATATAATTATTCTTTCGTCCGTGACAGGAAAAGTAATGAAGTGTTAGACGTTTAAAAAATTGAGTGAAATGCAATTCCCTTTCCGTTCGCGGCCTTACAATGAAAATACAATGTGGACGGAATGAAATTTCGCTTTGAATTCTTGGACGAAGGAATTAGAATAACTTCTCAAAGTGATAAATTCAACTTCCACTTACCGAACTCGTTCGATCTTAGGGAAACCCACCGCCGACGAACATACCCTCCTTCACGAAATAAATCATGCATTATCTCAAGATCAATCGATGATTTTTTATATGTTCTGCATAATAACGTATTATTTGTCTTACCTTTCTAGCCATCATATTTCTTCTCATGTGAGCGAAAGAGCAATCACTCCCTCTGACGGACGGTTATGCGGGGCCTCCTAATGTATGTAAGCAAACAATTTAATCAAATTGAATATGAAACTCCCAAAAAATTCTGCTCTCCTCCCTCGCTCAATGCAGGAATGGAGTATGTCCCTGGCTAGAACCACGACATGATGGATTTGAAGCGCACGCTTCCGGTAAAACCGGATCGATCCTCAATTGCATCATGAGTGACCGAGGGCTTTAATCCTCCTTGCCATTCATGCGCAGCCCTGCCCTCGATCTCAGCATGTTCCACGATCCTTCGGCCTATCCCAAGCCCAACTACCCGATCTTCAATGGGTCTCGGTACGAGCAGCTCACGAAGTACCACGAATACTTTCGGTGAAGTGGCATCCCCTTCAAAAAGGAAAACTTGCCGTATTTCTTCGTCTTCGAATGGGAGCTGGCCGGGGAATGGGCCGAAGACGCCCAGTGGTGGTTCATGGACTATTGGACCCTCTCCTTCGTCTTCGTCGCCCTCTACCTGATCCTCGTGTTCTGGAGTCGGCGGTGGATGGCATCCCGCCCGCCCTACGATCTGCAGAAACCCCTCATCGCCTGGAATTTTTTTTTCTCCGTCTTCAGCATCCTTGCGGTTTATCGGGGTATCCCTGAGGTGTACCGAAGCATTCGACATGATTCCCTCTACTACTCGATGTGCTTGGGAATGTGAGTCGAATTTCTCATCCTTCCAGGTGGGAGATACTCAGAATTCTTACATTTTAATTATAATCTCGTAATGCAGGAAAATACATTGTTGCACTTCTCACCTACCCTGTCAGTAATTTATCCCCGGGCCTAGTGTGTTTATCTCCGCACTGTCAGATGTTCCAAGCCTGGCACACGTTCACGAGCCACATCTGTTCACGTGCGCCTCGGGAGTTTGGGCAGAGTATGGGTAGAGAATGGGGAGAGCGGCACCTAGGAAAATTTCGCTATTTCAAAAAAACTTATAAATGCAACTTTTGGTACATTAAAGCTTCGCGGTCATATTCATGTTATGTGCTCCTTAATCAAAATGGTACGTACGGTTCTCATGAAAGCTTCAAAGCATTTGCAGAAGTTTTCATTGATCTTCGGTCGGATTCCACTAATGCGTGAAACATACAAGTCGGCCAAGCGCGGGCTAAGTGTGCGAGACCTTACTGAGCCACAGACAGTCTAACCACTAAAGAGTCACAGAAACGCCACAGCTTCCGTAGATACGCTGATCCGTGGCCAAACACACACTGCTGACTGGGTACTCTCAGATAACGTGAATAATCTCTAAAAAATATTCAAACCAGTTCTGATTGCTTTAAAAAAAATCTATGAGAATTTAAATTTCAGTTTCTTATTCATCCTTTATACAGTACTTGTCTAATTTATTATTCCGGAGCAGGAATCTACGACACAATCCAGTGGCGTCGGTCTGGGCCATCTTGTTCGTCATCTCCAAGGTTGTCGAGCTGGGAGACAAGGCGTTCATCGTCCTCCGGAAGTAGCGTCTCCTCTTCCTCCACTGGTACCATCACATCACGGTGCTCCTGTATACATGGTACGCCTGTGCGCAGGGAATCTCAACATCTCGCTACTTCGTCACCCTCAACGCTCTAGCCCACGCCTTCATGTATCCCTACTACACCGCACGAGCAGCGAAGGTCCACGTCCCCCGCCGCCTCGCCATGGCCATCACCCTCTTCCAAATCACCCAGATGATCTTCGGCATCTACGCTAACGCCTACGCCTACTTCGCGATGAGGGCTGGCCTCCACTGCGAGACCCCGTGGGAAAACATCTACATCTCTGCTCTCATGTACCTCTCCTACTTCCTGCTCTTCCTCAACTTCTTCGTCGACGCCTATCTCAGACGCACCTTAAACAAAATGAAGACCTTTGCCGCTCAGGGCACGAACATCGGGGAAGAACTCACGGATTACCTCAAAATCAATTGATCAAATGCTCCATCCTTCAAGGCATAGTGATGGGTTCACCGAGATTCATTTTCTTCGTCTTCGTGTTTATCCGTTTGTATGCCCGAAATCTGATATTGCCATAATCGGCAAGGCAAGGGTGCATGATAGGATGAAGCAAATCGTGTTTCTCTTCATTCAAATAGCATGTGCGATTGAAATGTTAGAGTAGCTACATTTTAAAGAAAACTTTTGCAACATCTTGAATTTGGGTTTCACAGCCAAATTTCAGTCCGGTCAGTGTTATTATTCTGTTCTTCCTCCTTACTTGCCCGCCTACTTCCTAGATGCAATTGTAGATCCCGTCTCTAATTACAAATCAAGTATCTGGTCTTAATTAAGATTTCCGCATCAACAGGATATGTCTGGAGGAAAGAATCGGGGACGAGTTCCGATGGAAGGGAAAGTGGTTAATGAGAATTGAATCACGGCTCGAGTGAATGAACAACGCTTCAGGTTACTTCCGACCGAAACCGGCTGTTAACAATCGGAACCCTTTAATTTAGTGGGTTACGATCCTTTACGTAAGTTTTAATTTACATCCCCCAGGGGGTGGCTTGTTTCTCTGCACGCTCTCTTTTGCGTAATTTGCGTTCTTTCTCCCGTTCGATTTCTCCTTAGGGAATTTTTTTTTACATTTCCTGTTGCGTTTCGTCGTTTGACCATCGATTGACCATCGATTGAGCATCGATAGATCGAGTCATCATTGGGTTCAGGTTGTCGGAATCTACTGGTCTGAACCATGAGGGCACGTATGGTGATATTCTTCAGGTATAATTTTTTTCGAGAATTAATACTATATTATATTACCTGATTCGAAAAATGACAATAAAAATTTCTCGTCCGAGCACAGAATGACTAAGCATATTGGCGCTGTTTAAGCGCCTGCTTCCTTCTTTCGGAATTTCCATATTTCATTTGAGGAATTTTTTAAAAAACGAGAAATCGAGAACCTTCTTATTTAAAGTCTCATCTTTTAAATGATCAAGCTACACCCACGTCATTAAATCGTCTGTTAAATGCAAAAGAAGTGGAGGAGGGAAAAAGGGAAGGAAAGGGGATATAAGGGAAGAAATGGATAGACACCGGGAAATTGAAGGCAATGACCAGAACGAGTGCACGGTGAAGGTGAGAAGGATTTGAAGAGCATCTTGCAATCCACGCCGGGTGATGTCAGAGTGAAAGGCGGAGGAGGAGGAGGACGGCTGAGAGCGAAAGTGAATGGGAATTGGGCGGAGGGTGGGGTGCGAGCGGTGGACGACTCCTTGAGGATGGAGGCGCGAGGGATGTGGATGAAATCGCGAGGATTAAAAACAAGGAAGAATAAATAAAAATGTCCGGTTATGGCATTCCTCGAGGCGTTAATTGTGTACTGTGCCTTCCACGATGCCTTTTCCTAACCAGTATTTAATTTTCTAAATCGTTTGCAAATCGCAGTGCGATCGCTTTGAGTGATTCCCGTCGACGATAAATCACGTGGAATACGGAACAAATGGGCACGCGGAAGTGCCCACGACCTAATCGTTCCGTTTGCATCGAGATTACGTAAGGTAATTGCTAACCTGAATTTGCTGTCAGCAATGTTTCCGACTTGTGGCAATCTCGCCACGACACTCCACACTGAGGTGTTGGACGGACAAAGACCACCGACTTTTCACCTATGTTTCACCACCTCTCACAATGCCAATTTTCCATGGAATTTGCACCGTGCATAATTAGACAAGTTTCTACCGGCTTTCAAAATTCCATAAAAATTTGTTTCGTCAGAAACAGATTGCTTTCAATAATCATAAAAGAAAAAACCCAAAATCGAAAACGTACATGGCCGACAGGCGGGCTACAGTACGCCAAATCACGGCAAAATTCAACGCTAGTGTCCCGAAAAGCATATCCGTGCACACGACCCGTCGCACCTTAGCGCGGATGGGCGACAACAGCAGAAGACCAGTTCGGGTGCCAATGTTGTCGGACAAAAACAGGAAAGCGAGACTTCTCTGGGCAAAAGAGCATCGTAGATACCTGCAGAACGTTTCCAGCACCTCGTGGAATCCATGCCACGACGAATTGATGCTGTTTTGAGGGCCAAAGGCGGTCCAACACGCTACTAGTGAGGTATCTCTAATTTTGTGGACATTGAGTGTGTATGAAGATGTATTTTTGCATGTGCTCGACAGAGTCCGAAGTTACATGTCCCGTTATGAAAGCTCGGTCCGAGCTCAAAAATACATTTTCTCTGAAAAGCATGACTCAACTGAACTCTTGTCAACTCTAAACGTACTTTATCTCGAGAGGACGTCATATATTCGCAGATATGACACACATGAATGCATGTCCGAAACTTAAGTTTTTCAAACATTTCTTGACCTAAGTTCGGACACACCGAAAGTAAGACAATAATCTGATGAATGCACATGCATTCTGCGTAACAGGACTCAATGTCCTCCTAGTTTCCTGGGAAATAAGAATCGAGCGCAGAAAACAAATAAGGTACAAGTGAAACGTCTTAAAAGTAAGGTTCTCTCCTTACGGTTTCTTGGGGTGTATTTCTTTGCTCTCTGCAGCAGCTCTCCGGAAGACAGGGCGCATGCGCACACGTCACGGGAGAGCAGAGAGAAAAATAAAAGGATCATACCTGAATACTCTATAAAGGCAACGCCATGATGCTACTCTCCGTTCTCTACCAAATCCAGGGTTAGAAGAGGCAGCAGTGCTTCTGCGGAGAGGTCTGCTATAAAAAAAAATGTCTTCATGATTGCTTCTGCCTCTCCCGGCAGAGCAAAGAAATACGCCCTTGAAGAATTCCTCCTTAGCATTGGCCTAAGCTCAATATCTTGGAGTCGTGCAAAGTCATGATGACCACCGCTTTTCCTTCGCTCAGTAACGTGTTCATCTCATGTTAGGAAGAACCATTTCCGCAGGTGGCCTCGCGAATGCTTAGTTTTGTAACAATGTTTGCAGCAGTGTCCGAACTCAGGTACTGTTCGAACTTAAATGGTTTTACCCTAAAAGCCAATGGCCTTCCCTACCCTTGAATACATGAAATATTTCTACTTGAGGCGAATTCCTAAAAAGGAGAGCCACTCCCCGGTTGTCGTATGTTCCGTGCCTCTTGACAGTCTTCCCACCCGACTCCGCCTCTCATACTGCCGCCACCTTAGGTGTGCTGTGAATTTCTTGCAGAAGGAATACCGACCGTGGCAGAGTTTGGTGCTCACAGAATGACTGCCAGACCGTAGCCGGATCTCAGGCCGGTAGGAAAGCGCCGATGGTTTCACAGATTCGTTTCCGAGATTGCGATGGAGTCGACTCTGAAATACCGCATGCAAAATGGACCGAAGGGACAGAGGATGGCGACGGTCCGTCCTCGGGCCCCACACAGGAAGTGGATCGGAGGGCATCTTCGATTCTTTCGGTCGGTCGAAGCCGCTCGACTCGGATCGCCAGAATGCAAAGAGTATGTCAGCAATAAATGTGATTCGCAGAGGGGTGTTGGGTTGGGTGGAGCGAAACGACGACGAAAAAGCACGGCATGGCTTCGATACGCATCTCATACGGCTGACACCAACAAACTGAGAATTAGTCGTCCGGTTCGGGCTCATTGTCACATCGGACAGTTTCCTGGATGGGAAATTTACAGGGAATTTTCAGTGCCTTCAAGTTGGTTCGGTTTTTAATCTTTCCTCCAGAGGTGATAGGCATGAGGAGTATGAAGGGTGTCTGGAAATCCATACGATCAATCTGAATGCACTGTAGTTAAATAAAGGCTGTTAAAATGAACTCGATGAAATGTTCGATTTGGTAAGCCAGAAATATGATCAGAATTAACTTAACCTTTTCATGCATGGTGTCCACTATTGTATAGTGCAACATTTTTGGCGACGATTATGGTTTTTTATATATGGTACACATACCTCTAAACTTTTGGTGCATACAGTCAACTCAAGGGCACATAATCTCTTCGGTGTTGAATTCTAGCGGTGAAACGTGCGACTACTACGGCAGAATACCACCATAAACGTTAAGCTAAAAAAGGTATATTTCTCTTTTGCTTGAAAAATTCATACATTAAAAGGCTAAAAGCAATCTTATGAATTTCGGGAGCACTCAATGTTTACCTCCACACTTTAAGAAGAGCCAAGCGAAGGAAGGCCACACGTGATTGAAGAACAATCATCTTCATTCCAATTCACATAAAATGACAACATCTTTGAGGATCATAAATTCTGCACAGTGCAAAAAATGAAGAGTTTTGAATGATTATCACATCGGAAACAGCTTCATCATCAAAGACATGATAAAATGCGAGAGCGAAAGGTGTGTCGGCCCCCACGACGCGGAAAAATCAGTCGGTGATGGACTGTTCGTCGAGCATATCCTCGTTCTGATAGTGATGCGGTGTGATGACGTTGAGATGAGGCTTCGCCAACGCGGGATCGGCCGACGCGAACGGCTGAAAGGAATACACTCCGTCGCAGCGCAGTCTCGTCGGCAGACGCGGGGTCGAGGGTCCGTCGTCGGCCTCGTTCCCGTCGGAGCCCTCGGCCCGATCGCCGAGGATCTGGATCTGATGCCGAAGCCGGAAGACCTCGTCGACGAGGACGGAGTGAAACGCATCGTAGATGGGCGTTCCGCCTCCGACGATACCGGCGACGGGGAGCCAGCGGAGGTAGCACTGCTTCCAGAACGCGAGACACGAGATCCGAGGCTGGACCTGAGACGCGATGCCGTGCTCGTGGTGCCACCGGACCGAGACGCCCGAGAAGGTGGTCTCGGGGGCTGCCTCCGGGGGATCCACGTCGGGGGAAAAGTGACCGTCCAGAGACGGCGCACTCCCCATCAAGAAGCTCGCCCAGGCCTGCGCCTGGCTCGGGAGGCTGCGCACCCGGCTCGGTCGCTTCTCCGGCGTCACCGCGAGTCTCTTGCGACGCAGCGGAACCGGCGGAGGCGTGCTTCGAGGGTCTCCTGCCCGCTTCTCTGCCTCCTGACGGATCGCATCCGTGATGGGGTACAGCGGGTTCAGGAACTGCTTCTGGTCTGAGATCGTGTATTGTTCCTGCCAGCTCCAGAGGCTGCGAGACCTCAGGGGACTCGTAGCATCCTGGAAAGAAGACTCCGATCTTTCACTGACGTTACTTTTTAAACGTGGCCCTCTGCTCGACACATCTTCAAAACATGTTTCTCGAATTTTAATTAAAGTAATCACCCAGCTTCCTTGAGGAATCGGCATTAAGCAGTCATGGGAAATCGTAGGTAATCTAAACTGTCATAATGCAAAACAATTTCACAAGGAACAGTTTCACACTGCATTTAAAATATTCAAAACTATGGTAAAGTCAGAGCCATGAGTTCATTCAGCAATAACAGTACTAACATGGAATCTAGAATTTTTAGATCTGACTCATCGACGCAGCTGCTGAGACGAAAGGACGCGGAAACCGACTTCTCGACTCACCTTCTTGGCTTGAACTCTTTCCCAGGTGGAACCAAATAGAAAAGTATCGAATATGTTCATGTGAGCCCCATCCCAGATGACGGTGAGGAAGGTCTCGGAGAACTCAAAGTCCGAGGGACACTGCTGCAAAAGCTGCCACACGCAGTCCAGGAACAGAAGAAACAGCGGACTCTGATGGAACAGAGAGCAGTGGTAAATAAAGAGAAGCCAGCCAAAGGGTGAAAGTGGAGTGTCGGGAGGCTGACTTTGTTGGGGAGTTCGTCCCGGAGAAGACCGAGTCTTGCAGGGAATGGGTGTGCGAGAGCGATCCACTCTTTTTGGATGAGGCTCTGGAACCCAATGCGTGTGCGGAAGCGGGACTCGATCAGGACTTGTGTCAAGCTGCTGATCACACACACCATGTCCCGCCCCGTTGGATCTGCAGAAATGAGACACATCGATGCACACGCCGGAACCAGTCATACATTGTTATGATACCATGGGAAGCCAAATATTGAACCAAAAATATAAAAAAAAGAGGAAGAGGACTAAACAAAAAGGTAAACTTGAGCACAAAACCATCAAACAAAATAAGCAAATATAATCGTTCACCACGAAAAAGATTTCACAATGGGGTTACGATAACGCCAAGATAGTCAACCTGCTGCTCACAGTGTCAATACGGCATGCACACCAGTACTCACTGTGTCACCCAGTCTGAACTCTTATTATACATTTCCCCCAATGATGCATGAATCCACACTGACCGACAAGAATGACGGAGCTGTGATTGCGGGTGAGCGTGATGGCGGCCTGCTTCGCCAACTGAAGACAGAGGGCGACATGATGAAGCCACTGACTCGAGTGCAGCAACGAGAGGAAGCTGTCCTCGATGCTCTCGTACGCTTCGTTCGAATCTATCGCAGAGAGAACGGAAACCTCCCACATCCGCACCGACAAGCCAGACCTCAGAGCGAGGACGAGCGCTCACCTGACATGAAGAGCTCCTGGAGGGCGGTGAACGACCTCTGCACGTCCGGCGGGGACGGGAGGAGCTCACCGAGGTCGAACACGAGGGGCTCGATGGACGACGGGTGCGAGGAGCGAACCATCTCCTGGTATGCTTCAAATTGCGGGCTGCAATACATGTGGAACAAGGTGAGAAAAAAATATGATAGCAAGCACATTCAGCACCCAAAAAGGAACGCCACCGTTCGCTAGGAATCTGTATACATCGCCAGCAACTCAGCAACAGTATCAGAAACTGATTCGATTCGTGCCTCTCTTGCAGCCAAATTCGAAACCCAAGGAGACTCACATGGTCGCCACTTGACCATGCGGAGCAGCGGTGAGTTTTCACGTAATATGCTGGAATGTTGTAGTGGAGAGGGCTGCGCAATACTGCTTTCCGGTTCATATTGTTCACCCACTTATCACATCACCACTTGTCGAAATTTATTGTCGGAAGGAGGATGAACGAGAGGATGTAACATTTCTATTTAATTTTCCCGTCAGAAGGAACGAATACGCTGTCTCGCCAAGCCCCAATCGTCATCAAGTCACAATATTCGATTTCCTTGTGCAATTCTGAAGTGAGGAGAGTAAGCTTATTATTTAAAAAATCAGAGGGAAGAAGAACCGATCGGTCAATGAGATCGTGGTTCTTTTTCAAAGATGCCGTCAGAGTACATTTTCAAGTCACATTGCCCTTTCTCTGCGCCACTCAACCCTTTAATGCATGACGAGTTCAGTGTACAGGCCTAATGAATACTTTAAGCATTATCAATAGTCTATGTCCTCATGAACAGGGAAACAAGAAATTAAATTTGATGAGACTGCACATGCAGAGTCCACAAACAGAACAAAGCAACATAGACCTACCTGTCAGGAATGCTGAGCTTGGCGCCCCGGATGAGTGCGGCACCTGTGTGCCAGCCCCACGTCCAGACGGGGAGGATATTGTCTGGGAAGTGTGGGGCCATGTACTGCAGATCTCCATCCACAGTTTTCCTCGGGACTATTATCACCTCGGGCATCCTACCGAAACAATGATGTGATCCAATTTCTGTGAACTCTTCTTTTGTGAAAAAGTTAAATGAACATAATGAAGTGAGGCAAATGCCTACACTTTGGAGAGGTAGAAGTCTTGGTTGATCGATGATGGCCGCCACCCGGGACAGACAGACGACTCGTACTCTCCGATCCAATCCTCCGGACTCAGATAGTAAGTCGTCGGGTCTCTCTCGATGGGAGGTGGCTCCCTGTGAGGCAAAATTTAGATGTGTGAGGTCAAAGCATGGAAGGTATTGGAAAATAGGAACTGGCCAGGTTACAAAAGAGGCATCCACCTGCACTCAAAGGCAAAAGAGAGCTGGATCCGCTTTGGGTATGCATGATGGAGGATGGCATTGACAATCGTCCTGTCCTGCCCCACGGGAGAAAATCTGAAGCTAAAGCTCAGGATACGAAAATCCTAAAATGGAAAGACACATAATGCACTATGATCATAAGAGTCCATGAATCTATTCCCATTAAGGAAATTACATTCAGATGTAATGGAAATAATACATTCTAATAACTGGATGTATCAGCAACCTGACTTCTGCTAAAACTGAGCTCAGATCAGTTTGCATGCATTTATTGGAATGGCAGTTATACTTGATTGAAGACACTTTTTTTCTGATGATGAAAGAAAAAAATCTGATATGGGAGTTAAAATGACAATTGAGTGACACAAAGCACACAAAAGATCAACTCAGTTACAGCAGCTTACAACAGCCTTCTTACATGGCAATGAATCTGGATGGCCTTGACCCTGTGGCTGGTGCTGGAACCTGGGGTAAGCTTCTTCTTCTTGTTGTCATGAATCTGATAGAGAGTCTCAACGTTGCTCAGACAAGCATCATCTGTTTGCAAGAGGTGGTTTGGTAGCAGGGAACCCACCTGACAAAGAGACAAATTGAGGGTGAGCACCACACTGGTGTGCACTACAAGAAAATTGAGTTTTTGAAAATTGTTCCAGTAATAAGGAATATAATGCTAATGCTTCGATTATTACTGTTTATATTATGAAGGTATTTCCCAAATTTCAATTCCCCTATTCACCTGTTAAGGTAGAACTTCCAGCTAGTAGATTAGATTAGGTTAGCACATTAATGTACCTATTTCACGAGTGGTTGGGTATGTTCTTGATTCACTTCCTTCAACTGTAAACATCAGGAAATTATCTCCCACATCTTCTGCTACCATAGAATTCAGGCATATGGGTCTGCTGTACCTTCTGAGTTATTATATACAGTTTGGAAAAAATCCATGAGTATAGGGCTAACATGCAAGGACTGCATCCTTGGATATATCAGCACCTTCAGTATTGCAGTCTAGCTGAAAAACCTGCTTCTTCCCTGAATTACCATGAATGCAATCACCACATTTTCACTTTTACATGATGCTAGCCAACTTAACCCTTTCACTGCTGAGTTTTGTCTTTTTTTTAATTTAAAAAAATTTATAAAACATTTAATATTAAGAGAAATTATTAAAATTTATTTTTCTTACCTTTAGGTTTAGTTTTTTAGTCCAATTACACATCTTCAACAGCAATGAGGATGTAGTCAAATTTTTCTCACTGGCACATCTTCATTATCACCATCGCTACTTGTATCATACAAACTATACACAAACTCACCCTCTTCATCAATTTGTCATTCATAAAGATATCAGAAATATCTTTATCTGATAGATTCCGACCGCAAGAAGTGCTTGGCCATGCCATTTTTTCAATACTATTTTTGGCAGGACTAAATATGTGAGGGCGCCCTCTACAAAAAATGTTCTATTATGTTCAGAGTGAAGCAAAGTCAGTGCAAGCAGTTCAGAATAAGTCTATATAGATGGCAGCACATGCTGGAACACTCCAATGCCTCTAAGGGACACACAGGGAAGTAAAAGAAAAAACAAAAGTTTCAAAATGGGTATAACCAGGTGTAGAAGTGAAAGGGTTAACAGGGGTAATGCATAACCATTATGGGTTTTCTTGAGACAGCAGTAAATATCACAACTCCAAAGAAAGAGTAGTCCGCCAAGATGGGCAACACATTGGAAGGCAGAATCATGCATAATCATCCTTTGGAAAAGAGGAAATCTCACTTGGTCATTTTTCCCCCGATGGGCTGAGACGAAAGAGATCTTGAAATTTGTCACAAACAAGGATCCAGACTCGCCATGGCTTTGATTGCTCATTGGGGCAAACTTCAATGTGTGCTGGGCCTCTGCTATCACCACTTCCCCTATACGACACAAATACAAAATGAATCAGATATCACTCCTAACCACAGGGTATTTAAAATATGTATTTCAATATATTTAGGGCATTTTGTATTTAAATACATATCACAATATGTATTTGTATTTTATATTCGAAATACAGTTCTCTGCAAAAAAAAAAGCATTTTCCAATATATTTGAGTACACTTAAAATACTTTTTCCATTTCTTCAGTGGAACTGAAACCTTATAGTACCATGCAGCCAATTTTTAGCCAGTGTACTCTTGCAAAAAATGTCAAATGCCGCTTTTTTGGCCACGACTTTCCATTAATTTTCTTCCTTCATGTAGTTGGGGTTCTTGTTGCTAGATGGCATAAAAATATGTCTACATTATTTTTGCAAGCAGTAGACATGGTCGAAAATTTGCCTGCACAGCACTAAGCAGATTAAATCATAGCTACCACATAAAGCTTGTCATTTTTATTGGATGGGAAGTTCTTCAGTAATATTGAACAAGAGGGACAGAGGGTCAAGGTTAAATGAGCTGCATGAGCTACAGAGAAAGTGATTTGTGGAACTCTAGCTGCAAAATCCGACTTCTTCATGCATTTGGAGATTTATTGTGTTGAAATATCTTGGTGTGAATACATTGACCAAGCCTATCCTTGGCATAAGCAAAGATTTTGATTTGTGATGTATTTGGCCTTCTGTAGACCTAGGTCTTGTGCACGCCTGAATCTTGCCAATGCAGGTTAATATTTCTGTTCTTTGCTTTCAGAGAGTACATCCAGATCTTGTTGAGGATTATGAATGGTATAAGGGGGAGCAGCCTGGGATTTGGGAAGGAAAACAGAAAGAATACCATCCACAGTCAATGTGCTACGAAGGCCAAGGGTCAGAACTTCTGAAGAGTTCCTGATTCTGGACAAAATCTTAAAGGCATGATGTAAACTTGAAAAGTTTTACGTTATGTATTTTCAACTACATTTAAAATATATATTTTGCATTTTTTATTTAAAATAATATAATTGGGCTCTACTTATCTTCAGAATTTACAATACACTTTTTCATGGACACTTGCAATTGTACTTAAATACTCAATCACTTGTGTTCTGCTCAGCTCTGCTTCACCCAATTCCACCGAAATACAATGAACCAATTCATGCGAAAGTTAGACTTGGATTGACGCTATATATATGCTAAGGCCGAGGCTGAACTCACCAGGAAGTAAATAGGGTTCCAATGGAGGTTCGTAAGTGTTCTCACCGCCATTCTGCCCCTAGCAAATAGAGAAATGGATGAGTCTATAAAGCGTTAGTTATCCTATAATAAGATTAGGCAGTTACCAGTTCCGTTAAGTCGACGTATGAACGAAATGTAGGGGTCATTTTCTGCAACTGAATCATGTCGACTTAGATATTATCACTTTACTCGCCACTTCTTGACAAACCAGGCGAGAATGGATTAAAACTCATCACTCAGTCGATCGACTTCATTCAACGGCCCTGGACGCGTCCATGATGAAATTTTCCACAGTTGCCAGATCTTACGAAGGTACCTCCTGACTGTGATTCATGCAATACAAAAGGAAAATCCGAAAGAAGTCTTTTAACTTCCTGAAAAAAAATAGTATCAAGGAATCGTTAAAAAGAAGAAGTCGTTTTATCTATTATATGTGGTAACAGTCTCACGAAACTTCTGTTGTAACACATAGGCATTCTGGCTCCCTGATAACACGTCGGCGACAGCGGTGAGGTCTTGGAGACGGGTCTCGCGACATGCTCTCTGTCGAATTTATCTCTTCCCCTGAACATGACTAAAACCTTTTCTTATTTTGCCTACGGCAGCAATCTCCTCACGGACAGGATCAAGCTCAATAACCCGTCGGCAAAGCTGAAAACGATTGGAAGAGTTTCAGTGAGTGAGCAGCAGGCCTATTGCCCAGCGATTAAAGCCCATGGTGCTTGGGAGGAAAGAATATCATTTCATAGTACTGTATTGAGAGGAAATGCCTGTTGAAGGGGGCCAGTCATGGTTTCCGACGAGGCATTTCAAGTAAAGGCAAATTTATTTGTATTGGCTTCCACAAAGACTAAAAAAATATAATAAATTGTAGATTGGGCCTACTTCTTTGTGCATGATGCTTTTCTCTGACTGATACTTATGAAGTTGTATCCATTGCATTTTAGTCAGAATTCAGGGAAGAGGTAATTGGTGTAGTTATGTAAGGGGCACCCATTCTAAATGCAGTTTCACACCATGTAATATTGGATTCAGAGGAATGGCATGATTTTGATGTCAGAAAGCATCTACTCTTGCAGTTGTGAGACCTGTCCTTTATTGCAATGTATAACGATTGCAAGCAATTCTTTCATAAGCATATTCCAGTATTAGTATATGTTCCAAGAAAAAAAGGGGTGCATTCTGGTAATGGTGTTATGCAAATAATACACAAAAGAAGATGCTTGTATGCCAAATTGAACTATTAAAACAGGTGTAAAACTGGTGGCCCGCCAGTCCATTTTGTCTGGCCCACGAAGTCCTCTTCAACAGTTGGTTGCGGAAAAGTTATGCAAATTTTGGCCTCTGCATTAAAGATTAGGTTTTACGTTTTTTTGTGGCCCCTAATCACCTTTGAAGGCTTCCATCCGGCCCCCAGCCTAATCGAGTTAGACACCCTTGTATTAAAGCATCAGATCAGAAGGTGTCACTATAATATTGGTGCTACAGCAAATTATTCAACTGAGGCCAAGAGCCATTGAGAATTATTTAGTGGAAGTTACATTCTTAGAGGATGCATCTGGAAATTCATTTTCAGGAAGCATTTCTGAGCATGTGAAAAAACTGAACTCTTAACAACATACATGAAAGGATCAGAAATGAAACTAGTGAGTAAATTCCAAATATGCTAGGATTCCTTACAGTTGGGAACTCATCCCTTAGGATGAGATTTTTTGGAATGACCCAATAACTTGCGGTCTAGTCAAAGCTTGACTTACCTAAGTAAATGGGTTAAGTGTCAAATTGAAAAAGGAAATACTATAAAAATAACCAAATTCAATGCCTGTATGGCTACTATTGGTACTAACTGCCTTGCTGTGTGACCTTCAAAAAGCCTTTTTTATTTTCAGGATTATGCATTGGCATTCGACTACTACAGCAGAAGGTGGCAAGGAGCAGCTGCCACAATAGTTCCATCTGAAGGAAGTGAAGTGTGGGGAGTGGTTTGGGAGCTTTCAGAACATGACAAGAGAACCCTTGACAAGTGAGTTTGAATTTACTTTCAATTGGATCTCAGTTTTTTGGGGAGATTTAAAAGTTATGGTGAGTAATAGCAAAATGTAAGAAAATCTTTTTGACAAATTGTTTCAAGTGCTCAAGAAAGTGACTCTGAAGTGAAGTTCTATGCCTAGACTCAAGTTTGTTACTTGCACCATAGGCAAGAAGGTGTTGGAAGTGGAATCTACCGCCCTATTGAAGTTTCAGTCAAAACTAAAGAAGATTTTATCTTGCCCTGTCGAGCATACCAGCTGATTGCACTAGAAGAGCAGGACAAGCGCCCTTCCAAAGTCTACAAAGATGTTATCATTCGAGGGGCTGAGGAGCATGGCTTACCTCATGACTACATTGAGAAGCTGAGAATGATAGAGGATAACGGGTATGACGGTCCTGTCACCATCAAGCTACCATTGGCTTGAACTTGATTTATGTTAGATCTTCAATCCAATGATAATGTTTCCAAAGATTCAAATGTGATAGATATGTATCCATTATTTGACATATAAATGAATGATTTTTTGAAATGAGTTATTGCATTTAAACCATGTACTTCAAGTGAGACAATGTAATATAAAACTACAAGGAAGGTATAAACAGACTATAAAAAGACTCTTTAATAAATTCATTCACTTGGAGATGCCATGCCAGGAACTGATACAAAACACATACATAAAATTTTCTTCTTCACATCTTCTCATAGGACTCCTTGTGCCCACAGGTAGTGCATGTGCGAGAGTACTCCTCCTCCTCAGAGTCATAGGTTTCCTTGCCAAACTGATGCTCATGAGCTACCTGTTCTCTCTTGTAGAGGCTGCTTCTCATGCTCATCCTCAATTCCTTCACCTTCTTGTCGTACTGCTTGGCCTTGCGCCGGTCACGTTTCTCTTCCCTCGTGTCCAGCTCCTCCTCTAGTTTTTCCTCTGATCCCCAAACCTCTAAGGCACGTGCAAACACCTAATCAAGAGCCCCTCATCAGTATGTGGCCAGTATTCAACCTGCAGGTTTTGTGCTATCTCCATAGCTTTTGATTTTTTTTTCTTGGATCAAGGAATAAGGACTCTGATATTTTGCATAGTTCCACAGCAGAGAATTATCCTGAAGTGAAATTGGATATTGAAGTAGAGCCATGCAATTCCTCTGAAGTAATGGCTATCAGCAGCTGCTTACTTGATCAGGTTTTTATTAGCAGTAGTTGGTGGTTGCTGGTTACTTTTATGACATTGTTTACTATTTGTCAAGAATCAGTTGGACTTTCCAACAAAAAGGGTGGGGAATAACCAAAACTGAAAGCAATAAAGCAAAGGCATACCAAATACTAAATTCTTATCCATCTGCAATGCCTGTGATGAAAGTGTTTGTGTACTGCAAATTATAAGCCAACAATTGTTTTTTCACTCCTCCAATTCATACATAGGCCCAATATCAGGAATTGAACTGAGAAGGAGCAAAGGAAACTTGACTTTAGATTCTTGGTTAGCTGATTCAAGAACAGCAAGATAGAATAGCAGGCTCTGGGTCCAATTCTTGGCATGATCTTTATGGGAATATTGCCCCCTGCAAGTAGCAACAGCATTCCTATGGAGACCGTTAAATATTTGCTCATACGACTCCAACAGGCCTCTGGGATGAAATGCGTATGGAAAGTCAGACTCTTGCTATGCTATGCTAGCGCCCAAGATGCCCAAGCCCCAGAGCTCAAGCAAAAAAAAAAAAGACACAAAGCTTACAGTGATGAAGCTTTATGGCTTTCTCGTGTTTTTGAGTGGTATGGTTGTTTTCACAATGGAAGAGTGTTGAAGATCATCCTAGGTCACGCCGCACTTCCACTGCAACTTCTGATGAAAATATAGATTGGGTCCGGGAGTTTTTGTGAAAAAATCACCGAGTAACAGCTCAGATGCTAGTGGACGAGTTGAACATAGACAGACAATTGTCAATGAATTTTGACTGAGGACTTGTGTAAAAGAAAGTTGTGCGAGGGATTCGTTCTGCAAAATCTGACACCAGAACAAATGGAAACTCGGTCCGCGACTTGTGCTGAAAATGTGTGGCCCACACACAGCATTGTTTATCGAACAGTTTTTGGCCGAAAAACAAGTCACTGTCTTGCCTCATCCTCTGTATTCGCCTGGTTCATCACAGGACTTTTTTTCTGTTCCCACGGTTCAAAAAAGCTATAAAAGGCCATTGCATTGCGGACATTCCACACATTCAGGCGGCTGTGGCAGAGTTGATGAACAATAATCCCGAAAATGACTTCCGAAGTCATTTTCGGGATTATTGTTTATCACCACCAACCACCTTCCACTTCATTATATGGTATTCCCATAGGTACTTCAACAACCTTCAGCGACACTGGCAACATTATATTGATGCAGGAGGAAATTACTTTGAAGGCAAAAAGCGTCCTAGTTTGTATTTACATTCCAATATATTTTTTTATAACATCAGTTCTAGAACTTTTGCGACATACTCTGTATCATTATTTTCCCTAACTCAAAAGCAGTAGGCCACACTAATAGTATCGATTGGCACCTTGGCTTAAGGTGGCTCTGGGTATATTTTGAATATTTGTCCATATTTTGTTAAATTCAAAGGTTGCAACCCTAAATAGCTGCCTTTGGTTTGGTATAGGCCTATATGAAAAAGCCTGGAAACTAGACAAGTTGGTCTGCATGTCTGCATTGCATGGAGACGGGGAGGACAGAATGAAATGTAGGATGCCAGATATGGCATTTCACGCATGCGCCAAGCAACCCTATCTACACGACCAGGAGCAGCCACTCTCCTCCATTGTCTACTATGGATCCGTCAACCGCCACAGCTGGAAGGGAAGTGGATGTTTTCGTGGAAGACGGGCACCCTGACCCAGGCGGAAAGCTGCGTGTACGCATTGGGTCGTGTTGTCCGTTCGCTATGGTTACTGCAGGCAGACGGAATGAAAAAGAAGTGACAAACCGACCGCAATATCTGGCATTTCCCCCTAGTACCTATGGGAATACCATATAATGAAGCTTTGCTATTGCTACATGTATCATTGAACAATAATGGTTTAGAAGGGACACCTGATTGTGAGTCAAGCAGTCATGGTTTTGACTTTTCTTGCTGCTTATCCTAAGATGAGTGTAATTTTTTTACTTTCCCCTTTTGAAGGCAAAGTGAACTCACTTGACAACGAAGATAGAGTTTCATGTTCCCCCTTGAGTTGTGTGGATTTGGTCGCGTGATGAACTTGAGTGGGGGTTCCCGCCTATCAAAGTCACAGTCCTTTAGAAGGAATTCTGTTTTGGCATCAGTCTTTGCAATCAAAGCATGCTTCTCATCTCTGTCCCTGGATCCCAAATGCATAGACTGTCATACAAAATACACTCATACCTGAGAACACATGCGTGCTACAATTGGATAAAGTGAATTGTCTAGTATTTACTGCATACCGTTGAAAGAGATTTACAAAACTGCCCTTGTCTAATGAAACAAATAACTAACAATAACGAGAAGACAAACCTCTACTTTCTCTTGTACACTGCTTAAAATATTCACTAACTAAATATTCTGAAGGTGAATCAGAAAATAACTTCAATCTGCATAACTAGGAATGTTAGAATTTCAGAATAAACAATTTTTAATGGATAAAACTTAGATTTGCGTACCTGCACTTGTCACAGACATGACATTCAAAGCAATCAAAGAGGAAGGACCCTGGAAACTCCTCCCCACACTCCTCACAGGTTGGTTGATCTGTTGGAACCACTGGAGCTGGTCTGCTAACTATTTTCTATTTAAAAATAAAATTCAGCAATCATCCACTCATAGTTTTGAGGAATGCAATGATTACAAAGATGGAAGACCTTAGGTTCCTCTGGCTCCTCATCGAGGTCCTTCTCCTCTAGGAAGAAGCCAGCTCCAGTGTCAACAAGTTTGGTGTTATGAAGCCGTACAACACGATCGAGTGAGGGGCCCTGGTCCGCCCTACTGTAGGGCTGGGCCGTTAGTCTTGCCTGCCTCAACAGTAGGGCTTTTTGGCGATTCCGCTCTGCTCTGGCACGCTGTGCACGACTCAGTTCTTCTTTCTCCTCACCTGACATACTGAGTTTTCTGGGGTCACCCAAGTGAACATTGTGCAAGAAATATTACAAGACGAGCCAATTGCAAATCAGAGACCACAAGCCAAGAAGGCTTCAATCATGCCATTGAGTTCAGTCCCTGACCAGAAGATCAAGGATGGGAAGCTCACATTCCCTCTATCTGAAACATTTGTGTCCACCACGCAAAAAATCTTTGGAGGGGAGGGGAGGGGGGGGGGGGGGGGGGAGGTGGGATGAAAGCAACAATAGGGCAGTTAAAATACAGCTTCCTCATTCAATAAATACATGAGTTACCGATTTCTTATTTTGTATTTATAACATGCTACTCCTTATACTTCAGTATGATATATTCTATAGCTTTTCTATGTTTTTTGCAAAGAATGTGTTTACTCCAAATTCTTGTACAATGGCAATAAAAATTTTAAATCCAAATTTTGACTCTTCTGCTGCAATTTCTCTTTGCATCTCAGCTAAAGATGGTGTGAGCTGTAAGAAGTTAAAATTTTATGCTTGATTGATATAAATATTCATACCAGGAAAGTTAGAAACAAGTCATGTCCTAATTATTGCCCCATGGAAAGTTGGATCATGGGATAATATTAAGTTCCTATCATGAGCTAAAAGTAACTACAAACATATTATAAAGTCAATGCTGCTAATAATTTTTTAAAATAAATCTCACCATGGGTCAAATTTATTGGAGGATCCATTATACACAACAAAGTTGTGCGTGTATAGAAGTCCACAAGGAAAAGGCATCAGTGGGAAAAGGCAACAGCAGAAATCCAAGGAAAAAGGGACCAAAGAAGAAATGGACCTCTGACTCCTGGGGAGGACCAGATGATGAGGCACTACACCCTAAGCTACTCAGAGAAGACTAAGATACCAGCAGTGGTATAAGTTATACTACAGATATGGTCAATGAGTTCCTGAGCACAGCCAAAAAATTATGTAAATAAGGAAGGATATGGCAGGCATGAGCTGAAATCATGAGCTTGTTTGGGAATTCTTGAACTTATGTCAAAGTCTAGTCAAGAGCTTCCTTTAAGTCATGATCTTTGTCAAGCCGTGATCCAAGTCACCTAGATTTCTGTGGATATTTTTTAAGTCTCAGAGTTAAATCAAGGCAAGGCATCAATATAAGCTTGGAAATGTGATTCTAAGTTGCATTTCTATTGATCCCTGTACATGGTATTAATAGTGTGGGTCATTTAAGCTATGCAAACGAAATTCCTGAGGACTGAGATGAAGTTTGAGAAGAAATGGGATGAAAAAAAAATAGAAAAGTATAAGGAGGCAAAGCCAATATAGGCATTTACGTAAACCTCCTCCATATTTTCTCCAAACCATTCCTTAAGGATTGAAAAGCAGCAGAGAAAGGCTTCAGCTGCCTCATCTTTAATAGCACCTTTTTTTCTGATTTTTTTTCCATATTTATTCCTATCTTCAAAAATTTAACCAGCTAATGCGGGAAATTAACGCATTTGCCTCAAATGCTTCTAGGAGCAATCAGAATGCACTAAGCAGTGACACAATAGCCCCATTTGGTGGGGCAAAAGTAACATGAAACAAGGTTTTCAGAGATGTGACCACTTTGAACCTACTTCAGACTTAAAATTTGACAATGTTGGGATATGTAGTTCATTGTTTGGATCAACAGGATTCAGCTTTTGCTAAATTAATCTAGATAATATGAATGCTGCCATACTGCAAGTAAAATGATGTGTTTTTCAGTTTACTATTATCCCACCTCACTCTACAAGAATTGGCTTTTAAATAAATCCAAGTACACAGGACTAAAAGGGTGGAACAGGACTGGTATTCGTTCCATCACCAACCGTTGACATCACAGCATGAAAGAGACCCTCATGATTGAAAGCCGAAAAAATCTCAATGTGTTGACTAGAAGACTCAGCTGATTTTCAACACTGGGAAGGACTTGTGAACTGAGAAGTCAAACTGGATCTCAGAATCTGGGTCCCGCTTGTGACCTCCTGCCAACAACTTTGTGACCACATAATTGGTCTTGGCCACTCGGATCAACACCTCCATCTATGGTCCAAAAATAAGGACAGAAACATGCAACTGTGTCATTCCAAAGGAAGCATTTCTTAACATACATAGAGATCACAGGCAGGAGCTGAATTTAACCAAAAAAGTGTTAACAAGGACTCATCTCCAATAGAAGTGTACTCAAAATCAAAATGAAGTCTTGTTCTCCTTAAGAAGGGGAATACCTAAAAGGTGAATAGCTACACCAATATGGTGAAGTGACACCTGGTGCATTAAAAAAAAGTAAAAAATTGCTTACACTGCTTACAATGCTCATAAAGAAAACTGAGAAGTGCTAATGTTCATTGGTTTGAAATGCAATGCAACAGTTTTCAAGTATTGAACATTGTTCAACACTTAAGCTGTATGGTACAAGGGCTGGCTTAAAAGTTTTTGGCCTGAGTGGGGTAGGAGTAAGGATAGAAGAAACTAACTCCAACACCTTTCAACATAGTCCCCTTGGACTTGTATGCACTTATTCCATTGTCTGTAAAAAGCCATAATCTCTTTGCTGTGGATCGATACTTTATGCTTGCTGCACAAATCCCTCACTGCATCTGCAACCTGCCTGTCATTTTTTAATTTTTTGTGACAAAGGTGTTTCTTTTCTGAGGGATGTGATGAGAGTAAATCTGGAAAGTAAGGTGGATGGACAAGCAGTTCAAAGTCACTGTCTTCAATGGCACTCAATGCAATGCAAGAGGTGTGTGTGTGTGGCAGAATTTTTCACAAATATGTGATCTTTCTTGAAAATGCAAGGGAAAAGAAAAAATGTTAGTATTTTGATGAAAGTTAGTACCTGACACAACAACAAATAGTGCTACACTCAAACATCTTTTGGGCTATATTGAATGCCCCATTCCCAGTTAGGCTGAGAACTTTTCAGCTGACCCTAGTATATACGTAGTGCTTCTAATAAAAAACTGTAATTGTACTTCTAAAAAAAGCTATGAAGATGAGTGACCTCAGAGGATGGATTCCCCAAGTGCTCTAGAAGGGCTTTGGCCTGGAAGAAATGCTTGTTACTGTCAGTGTAGAGGACAATGGGGTCCAGGACATGGTGGCTCTCAGTCATTTGTCTGAACTGGGAGTAGGGCACCTGTGGAGGCGTGAGCACAGCTCCAAAAGCTGCAAAGCGGTGCTCATAGCGCACTTGTTCGTTGTTGAACTCCGGGCAGGGCTCCCGGATCTTCTTGTCTTTCCCCAGGGCAACTACCATCTGAACACAATATAAACACTTTTAGTCATTAATTAAGTTTCTTGAGATATTACTTTCTTTTCTTTTGATTGAACTAAATTGTAATTGTTTCTTAGTACGATTCATGGAATATTTTGAATACCTCTGCATGAAATCAACCACTAATTTGAGTTCTCTCTATTAAGGTAATGAGCCCCAAAAAAATGTATAAATTCTTTGGCATGAAGACTGCTGAGAAGCTAATGATATATCTGCTTTGAGCCTAAGTATCACAGAGAATCTCATTGCCAGTTCTGATGTTGTACAACAAAGTAGAGTAGAGCGATTGGAAGTTTGGTAAGAGTAATTCATCATGGGCGCAAAAAACCTTCTAATAGGTAATGGATACACGCAGGCAATATCCACGATGATGGCCACATTCATTAAAAAGACGCGAAAAGGAAGCTATTTAACAGTGGCTGAGAAGAGACTGGAAATAACTATACTGGAATTGTTTACATAACAGTTACATATGTGGGCTCTGAAGATATTGTAAAACATTCACATTCAGGGTTTCAGACCTTATGGAAAATACATTAGGAAGACTAGAAGGTTCCATGTCACTTCTTCGACAGACACTTCTTCAACTGGACATTTCCTTGACAGGCTCTCGTCAGATGGCATTCAGTGAAGTTAGATTTGCTATGTGGACTTAATCATGAGACAATGCACAGTTGACTGTGACATGCTCCATACTAGTTTTTTCAACAGTCTTTTCAAGTCTTTTTATGAAATGTCAGTTGAAGAAGTGTCCAGTGCAGAGAAGAAGTGTCTTTCAAAGAAGTGACATGGAATCAGACTAGAAACCCCTCAGACTGACTTTGTAGAAGCCGCCACAGAGGGCATGCAAGGCTTGGTAGTATTGGAGCTCTCGGCTGTATGGTCTCGTCTTCTTGCGCTTGTTCTTATTCTTCTTGTTGCTGCGCCCCTTGGTGCTCTCCGTAGGTGGCTCACAATCCATGAGAATGGATTCGGCACGTGAGAAAGCAGAGATGATCCAACACAGGATGAACTCGTATAGGTACCTGCAGCAAGGAGTCCAGCCATCTATGACCAAGAAAAGCAGTAATAGCATGAAATGGGAAAAAAAAAGCCTTATACCAGAAGATGTAATGGTATTCATGGGGGGAATAGAGCTCCAGCTCAAAGCCTGTGAGTAAGAAGTTGAGCATGATGTGAAGGGTGTGGAAGAGGAGCCACGTGCTGAAACACCCATACTCCCACCTTCCAGTCACCTGATGCAGGAATGCATCCACCTTGTCTGCCTGCAATGCCACATTCACAAAATCAAAAATCACTTGCTGTGACACAGCAAACAAATCCTAGAGTCTTGTCTGGATCACAGATTCATTCTACAATCTGGTCACAAACCAATTGGAAACATCATCATTCGTTAGTGTGGCCTTGTAGTAGATGGAACATGTGAATGTTTGTCATGTGGACAACACATTCACTGTGCCACTGAAAGATTAAAACAATAGGCCAGAAAGTACCACTACAAGAAGCTTGAACCCCCTTCTAAGTAAGGTGTTTCAGCTTTTGGAAGGAGAATTAAGTCTTCAATAATGCCAACCACTGATTGACAAATAAATAGACCCAATTATATCTATGCATGACCAGAGAACAGGAACTCCCCAAAATTAATGAAGACCCTTGAACAGTCCTTCATACTAAGAAGTGACAATCTCTAACACAGCACATGTGGTAACAGAAGCAGCAGAGCATGAATCATGCTAAATATAACCAAACATACAATCCATACATTTCTTTAATAGTGTTTCTGCTCTGTGGGACCAAAACTGACACTCCCCTTAAAGGATAAAAAATCCACACACAAAAGGGTTTTATAATAAAAACTGGCATTCACCATGTGTCGGATTGGACTTGTAACCCCTTTGGGGTAGAGGTGAGTAAAGAAAACACTACTTCTAGAGGATCCAGTTTATCAGGTTATCCAAGAAACTACCCATGTTAAGGAAGTCACTACCTGCAATTGATGAAAGTGCTGTATGGAAGGGTACAAATTCAAACTGAAACCAGTGAATCTCACCAAAGGAAAAGAGTATTTGAGAAGAAAAACTAAAACATCTGTGAGCTCAATTGCAAACCATATACTTCAACTTTTTACTCATAGCACTCATACACTACAGTCTTTCACTCCTACCTCTTCCTGAATAGCTGCAAATTCTTCGAGTAAGTGTGCTAGGCGATCTCGAAGCCTGGCTCGATTGTGGCCATAGGCCTGGATGAGGGCTGCAAAGGGACGGACGCAGTTGATGAAGAAACCTTCAACAAGCTCCTTGGTCTGGTTCACTGATGAAGACAGGGGCTTTCCGCTCAGAATGTGTGGGGCGATGAACCCTCGACACGTCTCCTTCAACACCTCAGATAAGTTCGTGGTTCCAAACACCCGGAATCCTTGAGGGAAGTACACCCGTTGGAGGAGACTTCGAGACAGCACACAGGGGTTGTGGGAACTGAACTCAGCCACAAAATCCTAAGCAAGGAAAAAGTACAATGTTGGTTTGATCAAGAATAAAAACTTAATGACTATCAAAGCAATAAAATTATGAAATGTAGAGAATAGAATTTTCTAATATAAATACTTTTGAATAATCCTTTTTGCATTGATGGGAGGCAAGTTCCAAAGGAGAAATCTCAATCAGCATCAAGAAGAATCAATGAAGTATTTTTTCATTGGATCTCATGATTCTTGATAGCCCAATGATTTTATTGCCATCTTTAATGGATTACTTGTACAAGATTCTTTTTTTCTCTCTGGTTGCATGGGAATTTAGTGGTTTTCACAATTTAATTATTAGCTATGAGTGCATCATGAAGAAATTCAATGGATAAAAGCCAGATGGTTGGACAATAAGAGGGACTCTCCAATAACATGACTTCTGCTTTGCTGCAATCTGAAGCATTCCACAAGGAAAGCACAACCTGAAGGCATGCTTCCATGGGTCAACACTGACATGAATTTAGTCCAGGTCAGAGAGTGGCTACCAGCCAGCAGGAAATCCAAAGCCAATTAGAAAAAATATTTTACTGAGACAAGACCTACCATGGCCTGGTGGAAGTTGCGGGCCTGGTAGATATCCGTGATGTGCCTGAGACGGCCAAGTGTGTCCACCAAGGCATCGTAGGTGGATTCTCGGCTCCGCAGCTGTGTGTATCGTGGAAACGTGGGCGGAAGGAGTCGTTGATTGATCAGAGGCTCGAATCCCATGATGGTAGGGTAATCTGCACCTACAGGGATGGGAACCTCCACTTAGCCAATTTAGGGAAGCTATTAATGCAATGCATGAATGATGAATGAAACTGGCAATTTAGTAACTACAGATGGCAAGCACCATTTGACAGATGTAGCATCTAGGACCTATTAACTGGTCTCAATACCAAATGTGAAAAGCCAGACCAAAGAAACATTGACTCATGCAAAATAAATTATTTTCTGCCACATAGGTTGGTAGAAGGGCCATGGAAAACAGAAGGAAAATAGGATGTACAGAGAGAGAGGTGGCAACACAGCCTTGAGAGAGACAAGTGTGAGAAGATGCTAAAACAGAGACAGCAATTCCTTGATTAAGACACTAAACCTCTTCACACCCACATGCACATGAACCTTCCAATTGTACAAGTACAAAAATAAAGGGAAAATTATGAGAAATACAACTACGTAGTTTGTCCAATAAATACGCGAACTGAGGTCATAAAAACTTTATTTTACAAAATTTAGGGTACATCAATCTTATCCCATTCAAAATACTCCCCATTTGTAGCAATACACTTGTTCCATCTCTGTTTCCATTGTTCAAAACATCCCTGGAAGTCCTCAGAAGTCAGGCTCTTCAGCTGCCTCGTCGTTTTACGTTTAATCGTCTCCACATCGTCCCAGTGCCGCACTGAAACGCTTGATCCACTTGAAAAGAGCTGTTTTCTTTAGTGCGTTATCTCCATAAACAGCCCTCAACATTTCATGAATTTCCTGAGAGTTTTTCCCAAGTTTCACCAAAAATTTGATATTGAGTCGTTGTTCCATCTGTTCATCAATCTCCATCGTCGACAAGAGCAAAAAAAGGGCGCCACAAAAAAATTCCGCCTCTAGCTGTACGCTTGCCTCGACGGTCTGACGGTTACTGACGCTTCAGTGGGTCCCTTGCCAACAGAGCAGCCAGGGCGCATGTCAAAACATCACCTCAAGGCCACCCTAGTAGCCAAGTTCGCGTATTTAATGGACAGACTACGTACATCTATCTTTGATTCTCACCTAGTGAAAGGCGTTTATTCTTGGATTTGACTCCAGGGTCAACCGATGGCTGAATTCCCAAAGGAATTGACTTCTTCAAGATGGGAATGAGCTCAAGGCAAGAAGAAATGTGCTTGAGAACATCACTTGAGCCTGTCCCTTCCTTTTTATTAAAATTCAGAAATGTGGCATATAGGGAGCGAAGGAACTTCAATCGGGCGTGCAAGGCCACCAAACCATCATGCTGGAATTTAGAAAAAAAAGTCACAAATTTCAAGGCAATACTCACTGGAGGCCATTTACATAAAAAGCAGATCTTTACCTCTTCCGAGTTTTCTTTAGAGGCACGGACCTTTTTCCCAACCTCATCTTCTGCCTCTTTCATCGCTGATAGAGCAGTTGACTCTGGGACATCCAAACACAAATTGAAGCCATAGGTGAGGGGTTGGAAGTCCTCCTCCTCAAACACAGCAGCCCTGCCATTTGACAAGCAATGTAGCAGAGATTGGACCAATTAGAAACCAAAAGGGGTCAAATGATGGACTCACCTGTTCACAACTTCCTGAATGAAATGAACAATCTTGAGGATGCAGATGTTGAATGCCCTGAGAGGTTTATCTTTTGCTTCCAGAGGTTCATGGAGATAGAGATTAGTGAAAACAGTCTGGACAGTGGAGTGTCCATCCAACCATGTCTGGAGGCAAGCGAGAGTGCCATCAATTATGCCGATTGATTCCTCCGGGGTCAATCCTTCAATCTTCAACTTCCCAGCCTTGAAAAGGCATGATAATTATTTAGAATTCCCTGTTAAATGTAGCATAATAAATGTGGATCACTGACCTGAAGAGATTCCTTGAAACCCATAATAGTTTTATTTCCCCTATTGCACATCATCCCTGCATCCATTTTTGGATCCATCATCTCGATGGCTGACATGGCTTCAAAGAGGCCAAACCCTTCATCGTGAAGCAACTCGCCAAGGTGCAGATCTAAAAACAGCCATGAAAATTTTATATATAGGAGAAGGTTCCAGGCACAATAGGATAATGATAAAAATAATCATCTTTGTTTGAGACCGAGTGACAGGTGCAGCAGACAGAATATACAAGGAGTTTCACCTCTTTGATTGCTTGTCCTAAAAAAACAATTATGATAATAGTATCAAAAACAGCACTCAGGAGAAAGAAGAGCAATGAGAACCAGACAATCCTTGGGTGACTGTACACATGGAAAATGCTGAGGACAAGTGCACAGATCATCATGAAAGGAAAAATGTAAAGAGGGAGATAAAAATATAAAGCAGCAATTTCAGGGTAAGGACTGCTTCTTGAGTTGGTACTTGTAAAAGCTTTTCCCAAAAAGTTAGGAGTTCTTACTCATGTGAAAAGTGATAAATATTCAGGAAATCCATTCATGGGAGGCCTGATGAGTAAAATATCTTCAAGTTAAATTTCCTGTTGGTAGCATATGGTCAGTTTCCCTGGTAATATCAATTTGGTTTCCTGAGATCGGGCAGGAAATAGAAGGGGATCTTGTAAATATTCACATGCAGATACTCTGATGCAGTTGAGAACCACTTTTACAATCTAAAGAACAATTAGACTGTCAAAAGTCAACTTATTTTAAAGCAGGAGAAATAGATGAGAGTGCATGAATGGGGCAGTCTACTTCTCTTATGGGATTCTTCTTATGGGACTAGAATCTGTATAGCTGATGAGCAGCATTAGTACTATGACTTAAGTTTCTATAGCAAGACAACATGGCAAAAGGCATCAAATGCTTCTGAGAAGCCAGAAAATAGAGCATATGAGTAATTTCCTATATCCTGCTGTTTTAGAATATAGTTTGTGAATTTGAGCATGATAATGCAGCAAGAGTGAGCTTTTTTTTGAAGCTAGATGGCTTTGAATGTTGATATTTTTGCATTCTAGAAATGCCAAAAGATGAAAGGTGAAGAGTCTCACCAGACTTTTACTGATTTAAAGCAGGAGAGTGACCAATCTTAAATTTGATGGATCCATGCCATTTCCTTTCTTCTGCAAGGAAGTCAGCTTAGCAGTCTTAAGGCTAATAGGAATACAGCAGTAGCTAATGATAGAGTTAAGTGCTTAAGTAAATGCCACACAGAAGTGTCCCTTATTTGCAGCCACTTTGAAAATGGGACAAAACCACAAGATATCTTGTCCTTTAAGATATGTATGAGTTTCATTTAAAATATATTATTTCAGAGTGGAACAATAAATAGGAATTCTAGTTGGTGGGAGTGTCCAAGAGGAATGCTATATACCATACAGGTAAAATAGATGTGTCTAGGCAATTTACTAGATAGCAGTTTTAGCACCTGGAATATCCCTTACAAGATTAAAAAAAAAAAAAAAAAGTTCAGATCTGCATCTAGAAACAATACGGAAAAGAAGACAGAGCCCATATCAGCCCTTAAAGTTTTCTTGATCCCTTTTAAGGAATATTTATTTCTTTGAATAGAAGCCATTATGTATTTTGTTCCAGTTATTTCATGACTGATCAAACCAACCACCAGTAGCAATGATAAACACACCGATCATCTGGTTACTTAGTTTAGAGTGCCTTCTTATGAAAATCGTGCTATGATTTTACTAGTTGAGGTACCTCACTGGAAATCCAAGGATGTTTACTCTGAGATTTTACTTGGATAAAGATAATTCCTTCTTGAGGATAGAGGCACCTAAGGCAGAAGCTAGACCATGATGTAATCAATCCTGCTAATGGGATCAGGACCCCAAATTGGTCCACTCACAGCAGCTTTGCAGTTAGGATTCCTTACTCCTTCCCAGAAGACATCATTATCCACTTCATTCCAGGCCATTATAACTTTCATTGCATTCTTAGCTTTAGGGATAGCAGTTTCCGATGGAAAAGATGGATACTGCATTACCGCCGAAGGCAACAGAGGTGACAAAGTGATCACTGATAACATTAAGAATCGCCCCTAACATGTGAACCCTTTCCTTACGATTGAACTATAGGTGCTTAGCAAAAAAAAAAAAGGACAAGGGGCTGTATACTATTAAAATCTTAAACTTAATTAAATCAAATGGCTCAAACTCAGCCATGCATTTGAATGGGACTAATAGCAACTAAGCCCCTTGCTAAGAGGAAAAGCGAACTTAAGAACATAATAGAATCCGGCCCCAGGCCTAACTTGTTGCTGCGGTCGAATGACCAACATCCATCTGATGAAATAACGTTTCCCAAAGACATAACGGCTTGAGAAACGTAATTTTAGGAGTCAGGTATATCGTTCCGATCCCACAGGCTTAGGTCAACCGAAGCCTAAACTCACCATCCACGGCCTTGAAGAACTCATCGGTGACCTCCTTCCACCGAAACAAGCGTTTCTCGGTTTTCTCAGGCATGAAATTCACGTAATCGTCCTGAAATTGACCCTCGGGTTGCCCTTCACAGCCTGGAGAGGCACATGCTTCATTGCAAGCAGACATCTTTCAGATGCAACGCTCCCACCTCCCATCTAGCGTTATATATGGTAGATGTTGCTTCGCTCGGATTAAAGTAGGTAGAAGCACTGCAGTAGATATGATGCATGGTACCGACCACGATTCGGCAAACAAATAGGAGTAGAACAGCACAATCGAAACCTACGCAGCATTCAAGGCGATTAATAATGAGAAACAGGACTATTAAAGATAAGTCACTTGTGGAATCGATTGTCGCCAAAGTGGCGAATGAAAAAACGTCCTAAGGAGGTGAAGCCGGGAGAGGAGAGGAGAGGAGGGGATTGGCGGAAAGATGTGTCCTTCACAGCAGTTTATCAGTATGTATATTGTCATGTCTCATGAAGGCTATCAATCGAAGCCGTCCTAAATATTATTATTTTAATCTTCGAGACGGATTCATGAAGTTCAGGAATTAATCAAACTAATATTGCTTATGAGAACCACTGCCTGTGGCAGTACCCATACAGCACAGGTATATCCCAAAGATATCCCCTTGGGACATGGGAGAAGTCCCAGGTAGTACTAGCAGGCGCCTTCCTATCCGCATATTAGGGAACACCTAATCTTAAATTCTTGACCGATTGAAGAGTGACAATTACGGGGAGGAAAGTCCTGTTCTTTAAGGGGGCCCAATCAAAGTTGCTAGGAGCTAAAGGTATGGTGGGCCCCGCTGTCATGTGGTGGACCGACACATGACTCTCGCCCACCGTGGTGAGATCCTCCCAAAATGAGGACTGGCAGAGAGCAAGACCCTCATGAAGCTAATGACTTAGCCCTGAGAAAGTGACTCATTGCTATGGGGGAGAAGTCAGCCCGAGAGGGAGCTGCTTCTCCCCCAGGATCTCTCCCTTGAGGTTTTTTTTATCTTTAGGAGTTTAAAGAGTAAGGAACTATGCGGCCTTATTGAGAAAGCAACCTGAATTTATTTAGGTTAGTATCAGTGTTTTGGGGCACTTAACGCTTAGTTCCACCTGAGCCGAAGAGGAGCGAGATCTATAGGGTCCTAGCCGTTTTACTTCATCAGTCGGTGAGGTGTGACTTCATTTAAGTCTATATTATATTTACATCCTATCGGAAGGGTTAAGGACAGATGTCCCGAAGATCAAAAGACGTTTGCGGATCCAGCTGGCCGGAAGGGCCTTATCAGGTGTCCGCGTGAGAAAGAGAGAGTTAAGAGTTAGTGGGGGTGCGCGAAGGAAAGTTTGAGGGTACATGCCAGGTTGATTGGAAAATCTTGTGCTAGGGGGGAGGTGGTCGCTGAGGTGAAAGTGAAGAAGCGAGGGAGTCTGCTTTTTTTTATTTTCTTTCCCCCCCCCCCCTCCATTTTAATGAGAGAGAGAGAGATGGGGGGGGGGGGGGGGGGGGGGGGGGGGGGGGGGGGGGGGGGTGGGGTNTTTAAGGGCAGTCTAAAAGGTGGGGATTACGAAAAGACGTGCATGAAAAACTTGAATTTAGAAGAATTGGTTTTAGATGTGCAGCAGAGGGAAGGGGGGCAGGGGGGAGTTAAAGTGCAACTCGTCCCGAGGCGTTCAAGAATTTTATGGAAAGGGTAGGTTTGTCTATGTTTGAAGCGCCCAATGGTAAATTTTTTTATTTAGTTTTGAGGGTATTTCCTTAATGTCTCCTGGCCTTTTAGGGTCGTTGAAGTAGTTAAGTGCTAGTTCAGAGACGTGTTGTGGAAGAGGTGCTAGTCCGCTAATTCGATAGATATAGGCGTTAGAATAATAAGTAAGAAGTCGAAAGGCATATCTGATTGCAGCTCGTTCGATTCTTTCCAGCGGGCTGAGGACCGCCTCGGGGCAGTTAGCCCAGGCTGCAAAGGCGTATGTCAGGACAGGGCGAAGGTAGGTGCAATAGAGTTTTAGGATTACATGAGGTTCGCACCTATTAGCTCCAGAGAAGATTTTTAGGCAGTTGAGTTTCCTAGTAGCTTTGGCGCGGATGACATCTACATGATTATTCCATGTAAAATTGCTGAAATTCCAAGAAAACGGGTGGAGCGAGACTGAGGGATGAGATTCCTGTTCATGCGAACGTTGACACTGTAGGATTTATTATCTCGAACGAATAGGAGGGAGGATTTGGAGGGGTTCATAGCGATGCGCCAAACGCGACAATAATTAGAGAGAGAAGAGACTGCAGCCTGGGCCCTTCTCTCGAGGACGGCGACCTCTCTGGCGGAGAGCCAGAGGGCGGTGTCGTTTGCTTACTGGCTTATGTGGATGTCGAGTTTACGAGGTATAGAGGAGGATAGATCGTTAACGTAGAGGATAAAGAAAAGCGGAGCAATCACAGATGCCTGAGGGACTCCCGCTGTTAGGGAAAAGGATTCGGAAAAGGAATAGCCGACCCTGACCCTAAAGGTTCTCTCGGTCAGAGGCTATCCAGAGTAAGAATCGCAGGGGGGTTTTAAAAAGAAAGTGAAGTTTATAGATTAGCCCTGCGTGCCATACCTTATCGAATGCTTTGGTAACGTCAAAGAAGAGAGCTAAGAGATGTTAGTAGAGGCTGTTGACAGCCTCGAGCGCGTCGTGGTGGAGCCGAACGAGCTGATCGGTGGTGTTTAAATTAGGTCGAAAGCCTGATTGACAAGAGGTGAGAAGGTTTAGAGACTCCAGATAGTTAGATAGTCGAGCGGTTAGAATTCTTTCAAGGAGTTTTTGAAGAAAGCTGAGAAGACTGATGGGGCGGTAGGAAGAGGGATCTGAGGGATCTTTATCGGGTTTGGGTATCATAGTTACGTTAGCGAACTTCCATGCCCATGTTCCGGACATGACCGAGATTAAGACAGGCGTTAAATGTTAGATGAAGGAGATGGAGGGCTTTTTCTGGAAGATGTTTGAGAGAAGCTACGAAGATGTTGTCTGGGTCAGGGGCTTTATTAGGATATATTTTAATCACGGCCTCGATCTCTTCTATGGTGATTTCATTAAGTAGTGCTTCCTGTTCGGAAGAGAGACTTTCAGGAAGAAGAGAGGGTTTGGAGAGGGAGTAGTTAGTTATTTTGTTTTGGAGATCGAGGCTTTCTTTGGGGAGAATCGGCCCCAGGGAGCTCGGCGGCTCGGTCAAAGCTTCCAGCAGGGTGGTGGCAAGGACTGAGGCTTTGCTGTCGCCACTGCAGTGGATCTTACCATCATATTTAATGGGCTTAACTTTGTTTCGAGGATTCCCGATTCCTTTAAAGAGCTTCCAAAAGTTGGCTGGATCCTCTTCGGCGTTAATCTGTTCGCCAAATGTACACCAATATGCCTCGTTTTGGTTTTTAAGGAGAGCCTTAATTTCAAGTAAGCGCGCCTCAGTTTTCTACGTTTCTTAATTGCATACAGGGCTTCTTCAGAGAGAGAGAGGGGGAGAGAGAGTGAGGTTTATGGGAGGTAGACATTTTGGGTATTGTTACTTCTTGCGCGATATAGATGGACTCAGTGACGATAGTGACCGCCTCGTTAAACTGGGGGATGGCATCCATAGGGAGGGAGTCTGGGAGGAGGGTTTCTACTATGTCCTGAAAAGCGCACCAGTCGGAATTACGAAAGTCAAAGCGGGGGTTACTTGGGACAGATGGAGGGAGGTGAGAGAAGTTACACTTTACTACGATAGGCACGTGATCGCTCCCTATGTCCTCTCCTATGAGAAGTCTTGAAGAAAAAGGGAGGAACCGTGCATTGCCGAGTGCGAGATCGATCCTGTACGGGTTACCGTGAGCAAAGCAAGAATGGGTGGGGCAGTCGTCATTCAGAATGCTAAAGCAGCTGGAAGCTATGAAATTGCATAGGATGCGACCTGTTTCGTTGGTGTTGTCTACAAAACGAAAGCTGGAAACAAAACGAACGGGGCGTGTGCATTAAAATCTCTTATGAAAAGCGAGGGTCCTCTGTATTCGTTAATGAAGTCCAAGTCAGCAGAACTAGGAGGAGGCAGGAGGTAGGTAGGCATGAAATATGGTTAAAGAGGCAGATGGGAAGCGTATTTTAACTCCAATTATTTCTGATTTGGGGCTCCATTCGCGCTTAATTAATTCAGAGTCGAGATTATTTGAGATAAATACCGCAGATCCCCCTTGGTACGGCCTAGACTGAAAGCACGGTTTGTAACTATAATAATTTTTAATTATGGGCACGTTCTTACTAAAATCAAGCGAATCCGTCTCTTGTCTCCCGAATTAAACTAGCTATATGACTTCCTAAAGTCTCGCAAACGAAGCCTTTCTCAACGTTAAATTCACTTCTTACAACTTCTCCCCTCTCCGCGAGTACGGTTACGCATCGGGAGGGGGAGGGTTGGTGTAGGAAAATCTGTGGGGAGGAGGGGGGACGTAAATCCCCACTCCCGGAGGGTAGCTAAGATAACTCTTAGCTGCTCGAATATGACCTGAAGCATCAGGTCATGTTTCGCTTCGAGCGAGGGCCTAGCAGAGATTGACGGGGATTAGCTTCTAATTTCCGAAATAAAATCAGCGGGCTCCGCACTTAGCTTCCTTCAGACACCGTCCCCCTTACGCATCGGGAGGGGGAGGGTTGGTGTAGGAAAATCTGTGGGGAGGAGGGGGGACGTAAATCCCCACTCCCGGAGGGTAGCTAAGATAACTCTTAGCTGCTCGAATATGACCTGAAGCATCAGGTCATGTTTCGCTTCGAGCGAGGGCCTAGCCGAGATTGACGGGGCGATGGGGGAGTGAGTACGGGCGCGGGCAGAGACGCTAACGGACTGAGTAGGGAGAGGTGCGGTTGTGGCGGCCGTTGGAGAGGGCTCGCGGAGAGCAACTAAGGGGCACGCTGCTGACTTCGCTATAGTTTCCGCGGGCGCAGAGGGCAAGCTAGGGCTCCAGGCTGGGCGAGTGGGTAGGGGAGCGGGAACAAGTCGGAGGGGGAGGGAAGCTGCTGCATGCGGAGGGGGTTCCTGTGCGATTTTACGTGCTAGCAGCGAGTTCGCGAAACGCGGATCCGCGGCGATCTGTCGCCGTTTTTCCTGCCGTTTGGGGCAGGCGGCGGAGTTCGCTGCGTGACTACCTTGGCAT